TCTAGTTTAAAGTAAATATTTATACAAATGAAAGTTTATGGAATATATATATCATTTGCAATAGGATAAACAGAGTAAATGTTTCTTTTAATGATTAACCATTAAGAACAATTGAAAAGCTTGTGATCCTAATAATAATCATGAATATATATTACTTAATAGGTAAATAAATTAAGCAATGGGAATGTTTTTTGTTCGTGTATAAATAGCATAATTATAGTTATCTTATCTGCAATTGTCTTTTGGATATTTTAATTTGAAGAATTAAAGAATTTTTCAATTTTTGACAACATACTACTTCAAGTAATTAGCATCTTTTTATGTTTCTATAAAATTAACTATAAATAGGATTATAAGCAAAGATTGATAGTGGCTAGCAGTGGAATCTAGGATGCGCGTTTCGTCCCATTTAAGACTCATCAGCTGAGTGTACCTGCATCTCAGAGTTGATGTTCACTATAGGACTCGAACTCAGTATCGTTCACTTCAAACACCATTGCGTTATCCACTTAGCTACTGAGTCGTGATAGCCACTTGCTTGTGCAACGGGATGAGATTCAATTCACTTGGTATTGTTTTATCTGAATCTTCCCACTGATTTTTAGGACTGCAATTGATCAGTCTCCTATTGACATATGTGCATACTGTGCGTACTACCTCGATACTGACTTTATTTAAAAGCTTATGTAAATGAAATCGTCGAAAAGAAAATCTCCATTGTATTGCCTTCTTATGTTTTCAATGATGTAATGGGTCACTTTCCGTATTGACTAATCTATTTCTCTTGACCTTTCATAACAGTCTAAATTAAGTGACCAGTATTAATTGATAATGATGACGATTTTATATTTATTTATTAACCTGCTTTGATTTGGGCACGCGGGCAGTATCACAGCCCTCACACAAGTCAAATGAGATTTTTATGGCGTATATGTATCTGGTACCCCCTTTTACCAAACAAAACGTATATATATAGCACAAAACCGTCTTTGGGAAGGGTAACAAAATAACATACTTAAAGACACACTGGAACAATAGCGTTTAAGATTCACCCTAATGGAAAATATGACATGAAGGTAAAAAGAACGCTTTTGGTGCGAAAACAATGACATTCAAATGTTCAGAAGAAAATTACAAAATTAGGACCTTTTTCAAATGAGTTTTGGGAATCTAACGTCCCCAGCAAATACACACAAATCTAACCATTTTTCTAGAAGTGTTTGTATATATACATGGATCTATGTGTATCTAACTCTATTTTTCTTCTGATCTGCTTTTTACTTGTGATTGAAATTGAACTTTCTTATAAAATCAGGGGTGAATTTACTTTTTTCTCCTTATGCTCGTTGTTTATTGAGTGTGCTAATAGTCAAGTTTGAGAATATTTTGAAAAAATTAACAAGGAAAATACTGAAAAAAAAACAAATTGTTTAGGCACACCATGTAAATCAGATATTCACCTTTTTTCTGGTTGATTCTTTGCCAAAGTGATCATGGGACTTCATAGTTGTTGTTAAGAATACTAGATTTTCAATAGTAAAGATAACTGAGTGTACTTGTTTTCGTGTTTCCGTTTTTACGCATAACTTTTTGGTTTTTCTGACTGAATCATCATTTAATAGATAATTGTTAGTGTTATGTGTCAACTGTCGTCATCTAGTCTTCAATGATACTGTTCGTATTAGAATAGCTCAATTGTTCTTTACTTCAAAATTATTGTAGACGAACTAGAAGCCTCAAGAGATATCAATATTTAGCATTCTTTTCTAGTATTATGATCTGGTGTATTGTGAAGATGAGATATTACTTAACCATTCACGTATGAGCTTTACCGGTTAGTTTTGTTATCCACTTAATTCAGTATAGTATAGATAGGTGTGTTGTGTTGTGTAGCTAGAAGGACGTGATGATATAAAATTTGTTTTTTCTTCTATCTAATTAAATAAATATGGAATAAATGCCCTACTTTAATATATTGTGTTAAATAAAGCTTGCTCACCCTCTTTAGGTTATACGTCACCTACCAGGGATCTTCAAGCAACTCTGTCCTGAACTTTCCATTTGTTGCCAAGTGGTATTCATAGTTTATACGTGTACATCTGACTTGCAAAGTCATGTATTCTTTGTTTACCTCTTTTGTCTTTAAAATTTCAAGCTAAGGATCATCTTATGATGCAGTCTGATGTTTTCTAAAGAGTCTATTGTATTACATTGAAAGTGAAATACAGCTTACCAATTGATGATGATTTTTTAAACACTCACTAGTTACTATAACCAGGACGCATTTTGTTATGACCTTGGATGTCTGACTTTTCGATCACACGACTTATCTACCAATCCGAATACGACTTATACGAATCTTCACACTAGGCCAACCAATGACGTTCAACCGGTGTGGGCAGTTTAGCGTCCTTATTGGTCCTATGTCCTACGAGCCCTTCCACTTGAGTCCAGAACAAGATACCAGTTTCCGAATCAGAGCAGATCGTTTATTTCAGGCATACTTGGTTTATATATCAATCACACAGACCACAACGTACCATAAAATAGAAAATAACATGTGTACACAAATAAGCCCAAAAAGTGGCTGTGAATGTGGGAGGCAGTAGTTAATAAACTGAACATAACTTAAGAACCGTAAATCGTACAATAATAAGTTATAGGTCAAAATAAAGCTTATCATAAAAGGAATATAAATATACATAGTGTAATTGTTGAGTAGTTATACAATAAGAATATTTATAGAATATTAGTCCATGAATAGACCTTGGAATTTACCTGTAATTTAATCTTCACCGGATATAACACATTTGTTATACATTCTCGTCCACTACCGAAAATTTCGAAGAACATCAGTCATGATTGTTAAGAAAACACCAACATTAGACAAAGTAGCGTTATTACACTTCATCACTAGTATTCACTAATTTAGCACTGAAATGACTTCATTTTAAAGATATTGACTTAATAATTTTGAATAAATTAACGATTGAGTAGGGTTTTTTTATAATCGTAATATAGAAGTTTATTTGTAATATCTTAATAAGTAGGTAATTAAATTTCTTACGTTCTGGGACTTAACGAACTTTACTTCGGAAAATAAATAACTGAAAATATTGGTTAAAATACGTCTGGTAGTGCAGCGAATAAAAAATCAGGTGGGCAAAACCAATTTATTTTTTAATATGCCAAACCGAAGGTTCTGGGTTCGAGTTCGGCATGCGGGATCGCAGATACGCACCACTGAGTAGTTCCACTTTAGGACGAAACAGCCGTTTACACCATTGAAGTCTGGTGCACTGGTTTAGATGTTAAGCGCTCGCGTTCGATACCCAAAATCCTGAGCTAGTTAATTTACAGTATGACGGCTGCAAATAGCTGGGGCGTCTTATATAAGGACGAAATGGCTTTCCAGTACTTTCAGTTTTCGGTAGCAGTCCAGCTAAGATCAGTCCTTGATGTCATCTATAAGAAGAAATATAATCAGTGTTTGGATAAATAACCCATGAATAACTAACTCCCTTCTACTGAATGCATTGGGTTTCAGCAATATATGTTATGCTTCAGGCACTTGTTATTCTCGAATTGTTCCTATATTTTCAGTATCGACTTGATGGTTAATAAAAAAGCACTCGCTGTTGTTGCTGATTTGATTTGTAGATAATCGAATTCTACAAATCATTAGATCTTGTCGTGTGGTTTATATTTTCATTCGGTTGAATTGCGATTTTACGTAATTCCTATATTAAAGTCATCATAGTCGACATAACCAGTCTGTAGACATGATTGTTAGCAGAAGTAATTGGGGACTTTCCTTCCATTCTAACCAAAGCGTTTTGAGTAGTTTTCAAATATTAAGGATGCTTAATTTTATTCAGTTTGAAAAATTATATCACTGCTGTAGGTTAACGGTTTGGTTAAACTATGATAATAATCCATAACATTTCATTCAATCTATTATTTAACAATGAATCATTTCCTTTTACTACAATTTTGAGGATATTCATCTAGAACTTATTAAATTACAAGATATCTATCTTATTATTCTCTTTCTTTCGAATTAATTTAGAGACAATGAGAGTTTTGTATTGAATAAATGTGTAGATTTCAATGTTAATATGTTGGTCTATTCATGTATCAGTTTATAGTAGTTGGTTAGATTTTTAATTTCATCTGAATTTTCTTTTAACTAGACAGATCTAAAAATAACAACATATTGTGTTCAGCTTTTGGTTTTCGGAAATTGAATTCAATGCGTATTTATCAATTTATATGTAGTTAATATCAGAAGGGGTTTTGTGGAAATTATAATAATTTTTAATAGTTGAAATCATGAGTCAATTGAAGTTAAGCCACCATGGAAGCAATGGACAGCCGTTTCGACCTACTGCGGAACTCTTCAGCAGTGCGTATACACGATCCCGCCCTTCGGGATTTGAACCCAGAACTTCCAGTCTCGCGCGCGAACGCTTAACCTGAGCCGGCATCCAACAGTGTTAATGTCTAGCTTCAACTAATCCACGAAATTGAGCGACACATCCACCATTGTCTCCAGTGAGTTACTACCTCACAGCAGACCCGCTTGAACTAAACTGGTCACAGCTTCTCACTAGAAATCCGGGAAGTACCTCTGGGGCCTGATGAGCCACACAGTAGGACGAAACAGCCGTCCAGTGCTTCCAGGTTCTCCATGATGGTCTAGCTTCAATTGACTCATGATTTCAACTATTATAATTATATGTAGTTCTTAAGAATAAATATTTTATTATTATTATTATTATTGAAAAATGTATCATTCACATATTTGAGCCAAATTTATTTTTATTAGCATGATCTAAGTTTGAATTGTATTCCCAAGTGTGTTTGTTTTAATGCATTAGATGTACAGTTTTTATGTAGTAGTTAAATTTTGTTTGGGTATATTTACATTTCTGTCTCTCAATGTATGTCGGGATTACTATTATTATTAATATTATTATTATTATTATTATTATTAACAGCAAGTGAAACAGAATCCTCGTAGTTCACGTAAATCATTAGAAGATTGTTATATGGTGATTGTACAACGTTGGACTAAAGTAGAAACGTTACTTGAATCAATTATACGAAATACATTAAGTAAGTATTTTAATATCGTTTCATAATTATTGAATTTAACCAATCCCTTTATTTTTTAAAAAATTATTTTAGTGGAGTTTTGTTCTTTTAGCTGGATAGTTGTTTGGTTGTAGAATATTCACCGTCCTCTGAACAACATTATGATGAACATTTATCTAGGCTACAAATCTTCACCACTATCTTAATATTCCGATTTCTATCTGCAATCAAATATCCATCATATAATTACATACTTTTTCTTTATTACTTTCATTCACAATACTTTGTTTTTAAATGTCGATGCGAACGATCTTTGCTGTGTTTCACCATCTGATTTAATTACTATGTCTACCTCTTAAGGTACACCAAATTCAATATCCAAATGAAAAAACTGCAACTGATCAGAATGGTGGATTGTCAAGTTGACTTATAATCTGTACTACCATATATATATGCATTGATATATTTGTCCTATTGATCCAAACAAAGGTCTGCAAACCTAAGCCTTTTTTTTATGTCTGACCGACTTCCTCCGAAAATTTGTCCCTCTTGTAATTTATCGACCAGTCGATAGTGAGATGTTGTTTGGGCTTACTTAGACTATCAGTCTGTTACGCTTGAGCTGATTTTTATTATTTTCCTCCTATATTAGTGCGTAAGTCAGTATCCTAGTCATGTCCTCATTCATATTAAACTGTGGTAGCTTATATCTACATATGTCCTGATCTATTTTTATTTATGTAATTTGTATGGATTCGGGTACAATTCGGCACTGAAAATTGAATGTGCTGTTTAAATTAATGGTTTGTTTTGGTTGTGATATTGTCAGCGCACCCATACTGAAACAGGAGGTTTTCTTGTGGAGCGTTTCTCTGAGTACTTGACCCAAACGTTTAATCTTAAAATAAATTCAGCAACCTCAGGAGCTGTTGGCTCATGATGGTTAATGACCTCAAATAGGTTTGTATTCTACTCGTTCTTTCAGGATTCTGAAGCCTATTCTCATACTACTCGTTTGAAATTACAAATTTGCAACACTTGCGCGTGGAATCTTTGTATATGTCATCCGGGTTCGTTAAAAAGTTTACTCTTACTACCCAGTAGCGCCACATGGAGGCATTGAGTCGACTTTAGCTACTATATCCTTCTTAAAATTTTGTAATCGTTAATAACTAACTAGTGTATGAATGTCAATTATCACTAACATAAACTACACCTATCGTTTTTTTTCTCACCAAAATAAATATTGAATAACATGTTTCGTAGGCAAAATCCAATTTTCAATGTACTACAAAACAGTTTTGATACTTTGATCTAACTTAATAATTGAGTAGTTACCTAAGTTTAACTCTGATCATCCACTTAATACTCTATTTGATCTAATAACTTTGGATTTTTGAAGTCGTTTTTCAATCGTCACCGACTCTCTACTTCATAATACTTATGTTAAAAAATAACCAAAGATAGTAATAATATAAAATTATGTTGAAATAAATGCCTAAGAATATGGTCTCGAATAGCTCCAAACTACTGAACAATGTCGTAAGAAGACGTATATTGGACACCGGTTGTTCACTTAATCCTGTTACTGCTTTTCGGATAATATATCGACAGAGTAATGACAAATTTCCACGCTATACAGAAGCAACCGCTACCCATCGTTTCACTTTTAGTTTATGTTTACTGACGCTGTCATTGTGACTAATTCATCGTTAGCGTTCTCTTCCTCCTTTTTTCTTATCTCTCTCGTTTCCAAACAAAATATTGTAAGTTTTGTCTTATTCGTTTGGATTCATCTTTGTTTCATAACTATTATATTTTCATTGTTCAATCTAGTCAGTTAGTCACTTCTAATTTGTAGTTATTATTACTTCATTGTTTTAACATGACTCAATAAAATGTTGGACCTTTTATCAATTTAGTCATGCAACTACCTCTATTTTCTCGTGTCCCCCTTCAACTAATATTATTAAGATTATTGCTGTTATAACTTCACCTTTTGATTTTTTGGTAGTTGATATTACATTGATCATTCTGTCTACCGTCATCATAACAGTATGTATTTGGTTACATCATGATCTTTCTTCATTTCTGTTACTTAATCCTATCGCCTTGTACGAATATAGAAGTCATGTATAGCTATTTTTCAATAGTGAAACCAATCAGTGTGTATATGAAAAAAATCAAATCACACGGAACGATTAGACGAATTCACTCTCTTCCGTTATTTTCTTTGTTCTTTTTGTATAAAATTTAGTTCAAGTTCTTTGACTTACCGCTCAGTAGAAATTGGGATCTTGTAATGAAGTTATTTACTTGCATATAAATTACAGCGCAAAAGCTAGTTGCTATCTGAACTTACTAGATCAATAGACTAAGACATTGTGAGTCTGAAGCCTAGGGTACTTGATCTTCATCCTCATTCTAAGTATCAAAATTGATTTGACAGATACGATTTCCTGATTGATCTCAAATATGACTAAATAGGCATCCATTAATTCAACTTTACTTAAAACATGACAACAACAAAGCTATCTACTCAGGATTGCATATGTCAGTCAGTCAGTAACAACGTAGAACTTCGAAAGTTCGTACGTCAGTTTGAGTTGCCACGCCACATTAGCACAGAGGTGCAGTTGTCGATTCAAATCCCGTAGTGGTAGAGGTAGTAAGAGTATAAGCGGTAATTGGAAACATTAGGGTCCGAAGACGTTATTCAAGGAGTATAATCCAGTGAAATAAATTTGGAAAGAGAAAAAGAGACAATGAGGATTCAGGAGATTAGAATTTGGGAGAACACAAAGTGTGGATGCACCTGCACCATTGCAAACGATTTTGATCCATGTCATTCAGGGTCTCTAACCATCGGTTGCTATCATCTCGCGGTCAATTGTTAATCAGTAACATAAATAATGAGAATCGACAAATCATTTCAAATTTTAAATAACAAAGTACATATTGTATAGTTTTTATTCTTAGTACTTATGTTTCCATTTCATGTTTTTTTTTCTATTTCTTCTTTAAAATCATAATTCACTTTTTTAACAACGTCAAGATGATGATAAAGAAGTTGCGAATTTAGAAATTTCTCGTAAAGCAGTCAAATCATTAATAAAATCTTCAGAAACTATATTGACAGAATTTGAATACACTGGAAAATTGAGAGAATTTGCCATGCGCTTAAATGTATCTGATACTACGACTGGTACAACAATGATGTCATTATCAAGTAATACTTCATCGGATGAAATGCAATTACTTAATGAATTGAACTCACCTAATGCAAAGTTAATTAATCATGGACGATTATATGCTAATCCAATGGTTTCTGGTTGTGGACTACAGTGTGAGTGTTTGATAGCTAGTTCTGTATTATTCATTATTTATTATTATTATTGTTATTATCGTTTAGCTAATTTATTTGTACATGATTCAATACGATACTTTTGTGACTTGATTTTCTGGTTATAACTGAGTCAGTACAAGTGAAATAGCTCGTATATTACATTCTTAAGTGTTAATCGTAGTGGTATTTATTGTGTATTTAGATACTACTCGATATCATGTGTTAAATCCGTTTACAATTTCTCTATTCCGCGTCGGTTATATCGATCATAAACTAGCATTTCAGCATTTAACATTATGGCGTTATGGCCTGCACAATTGACCTTAGGTTAGCTTGATCTACGGATTTATTGTTTCGTCTAACCTCAAGTTTTTCTATATTTTCAATCTTCAGAAGAGAATTCAACACTCAAGCATCTACTATTATCATACTTCAATTACCCAGGATACCACTGTACTTCAAATACCTGGACTACTTCTTTTATAGTCTGAAAGTTCCTATGCATATAGGCCAAGCTTATTACCAAGGTGTGACTATAATTACAATAAAAGGTACTTAAGTCGTCATGGGTAATTTGAGTATATATTCTGTGTAGTTGACTCTCTAAAAGTTATCTCATGTTAAGTAGCTATGTAAATTTAAGTAATTAAAATATAGTAACTTTCCACTGAATGTTTTCTAGATGATTTCCATTTGATGATCATCCATCCCTTTTAGGTAATGTTCTACCTATATTGAAATACCTTGGCAAAGTACAACTGTATCCTTATTTTCGATCGGGCACTATCAATATTTCTATTTGTATTAATTGATCACTGAATGGTGACTCGTCATGTATACTTTGCTCGTCCTAATCTTAATCGAGTCTTAAAAATGATTTGCAATTTTACAGAAACCAGTCTATGTAACTCTGTTCCTCGCCCACTGGTCAGTAAAGCAGTCATACTCAAAGTAGAACTTGGCACATCCTAAAGTAGTAGAGCTGGTAACTGTATTAATGATAATGTAATAGTTTGAGCATTGAACATAAATTTCGGGAGGAGAATTAAATTGGTGATATAAGAATAAAGTCATCTATAAGGTTTTTGGTTGAGATCATGAACAAGAAAAAGGACGAATTCACCATTGCAAATGATTTTCAGCCATTTCACCATAAATCTCTAACCATTGGTTACAATGATCATGTGGACCTCGACCAGGTAGTCTACACATGCTAATATGACCCAATCTAATTGTCATTGACATCATGGGGACTGGTGCCACGTTTTGGTTTTCCACCTTTGCTTTGTTACAACCCATTCCCACACTAGCCATCATAGTGCGTCAAGGTAGTCGGTGGTGGGACATACATAATACATGTCCTAACCATCTCAGTCGATAGAGATTCACTACCTCATGAAGACGGGTTTCTCACCTACGCAAAAAGTGATAGAAGTTGACAACAGCTAATCGGGTTTTCCGAAGTCATCCCAAAAGTTCATCAGACACCAATCCATTTGAGTTATTATCTAACTAATATATTTCATATTACTGGAGTTATAAATTGGCTTTCATTCCAACGAATTGTATTCAAAGATGTTTTGTGTAAAATCGTCTGTAGTGTGTGTTTGTACATAGTTTCTCTGGTTCAACAAGATTTTCAAATGAACCTCGAATTTCACACTCATAGGTTGATATTCAATACTCCTTAATAAAATACACCAACTTTACGGTTATATAATCCATCATACATAAGAGTTTTCCAAGTATTGATGTTGTTCCTATTTCATCACTGATTTAATGGACGGTCAATTTCTTTATTGAATAGTAGGACATTAAATGACAGCCAATAAAATAATGTTAAGTTGATTCTATGTAATTTTACCATATATTCAATGAATGCTTTTCTCTAACTTCTACGCATGCACTTTTGACCGTTTTGTATTTATTCTTAGTAATCGTATGTATGTTGCACCTGAAAAACACGTCATTCATCGTACTACTTGTAAGTAGCTTAACACTGAATGCAAATACTAATCATTTAAATAATAGTTCAGCGTGATCATCCATAGTTACCAATACAGCATAATCTTGAACCGTAAATATGGTCTTGATACTTATTCAAAATGCTGTTCTTTTTTTGTTTTTATAACTTTTTAAAATCACCAATCAACTAAAATCCTGTATGCTTGTAAAAATCCTCCCTTTTTTTGACTTTCTGAGATGGATAACTACCAAGTTGAATTTGATTACGATCAACTTTTTTCTTAGATCATTTCAAATCAAACATAAGGCTAATAAATGTTATGTAATGTTTAGCGACGTGTGAAGTGTTACTTAATTCACTAAGTACGTTATATTTCTTGGTAATAAAGAAAACAATTACTTATTTTTTGTACTATTTAGAATTGATTACTATCACTATTGTTAAAATGTGAATCCAGGAATGATTCATTAGTTAAAACTTTTAAACACTAAGTCTCAGGTCTCGAACCCATTTCTATATAGTTCGTTGGTTTAACCAATCTAATAACACTAATAGTCATCATCACAATTACGGTATAATTCGAAGCCTTATACACTAATCTGTACCTGGTAAATGAGTGGAATAAATAAATGAATATCTACAGTGATTATTGACACTCAAATCGGAATATTCATAAATTTACAATAACTAAAATGGAAACTTAACATGATAAACCATTTTTCATAGATTTTTATTTATTTATCTATCTAAACATATATTCATTGGTTCAAGGAGGTACCAAATACATATGTTTTATATGATTCGACTTGTGTAAGGGTTGGAATACTTCCCAGGTGCCTAAACCGAAGCAGGTGGTTTTCCTACGTAGCTAATCTCAAAGACTTCGATTTAAAGGTTTGATCCACAAAGCAGTGGAGCAACGTAAGGAGATGAAGTGCCATGGTAGCCATTTGTTCCCTCACGATCCTGTAGCCCATATGCACCGTTTGTTCGAAATCAAGGTTTTCAACTCCCCTAGATGGATCCTCCATATCCATCAACCCGCTTAAAGCGCCTTACATTTGCTTTTCGTCCTCTCAATCTCGTAAACAACGACCTCGTCGCGAGAAGGCAATGAGTAAGACTTCCCTGACATTGGCTATATACTCGTGGCCAATTGAGAATATTTGGATAGGAAAAACTGACTCTCCCACCCCCTACCGTACCAGGGCATTTAAATAGATATTAGAAATAAACGAAATCGAACTTCACAAAATCTTTTTCTCAAATACTAGATATCTATCACTCTTCAATTGTACCTTTCACCTAATTGGATATAGTCCTGTTTGGTGAAGACGCTGACAAAATGCAGAGTCTTCTGGTGGCACTGAGCAACAATGCCAGGATGTTTGGAATGCGCTTCTCTCCCTCTAAATGCAAGTTGTTGCTTCAGGACTGGTCTGCGTTAACACCCGAACTAAGGATAGGGAGTGAAGTAGTCGAACGCGTTGACAACTTCACTTATCTTGGAAGTCTGATCAGCCCTAATGGGTTGGTATCGGACGAAATCTCAGCACGGATTCGAAAAGCTCGTTTGGCTTTTGCCAACTTACGTCACCTGTGGCGAAGGTGAGATATCCGTCTATCAATGAAAGGACGAGTATACTGCGCGGCAGTCCGTTCTGTTTTAATTTACGGCAGCGAAACATGGCCATTAAGAGTAGAAGACACTTGTAAGTTATTAGTATTTGACCACAGATGCCTTAGAAATATTGCTGGCGTCTGCTGGGATCACCGGGTAAGTAATAGTGAGGTTAGACGCAGAGTATTAGGGAATGATGGTAAATCAGTTGATGAGGTTATGAATCTTCATCGACTGAGATGGTTGGGCCACGTGTTACGTATGCCCAAACACCGATTACCACGACGTGCAATGCTAAGCGGTGTTGGAGATGGTTGGAAGAAAGTTAGGGGCGGCCAAACCAAAACGTGGCATCAGTGCTTGAAGTCACTAACTTCTGGTATGAGCCATGTTGGTAGATGCAGACTACTTGGTTGGGGTCCGCGTGACTATCGTAACCAATGGTTGGAGACTGTAGGTGACATGGCTCAGAATCGATCACAATGGCGTCGGTGTATACACTCTCTATCTTCCCTTAAAATAAGAGATTAAAATCGCTTCATATCTTTCTTTCTACCAACTAATTCTTTCTTCCTGTACTATGTCCTTATATGCAATCTTTCTTTTATATATTACCACCTCTGAATTAACTACTTTAATGAATCCGGTGTCCATCTTGCTGTGTTATGAGGTATGGCAACCTGGACCGATGCATATATGTGCCTGGTTCTACGTTGTAGCTGACTGAATCGGACATTATCATGGTTACATACTTTATCATTAAAACTATTTTGACAAAATAGAATTCTTAGACATGTCGGTAATAGCTAATTTTCCTTTTTTTTCACTCATTGGAGAAATAAAATTTGTTTAAATAACAATCAATATCATTTACCCAATTCCCAAATTTTTTTAAGTAAATTATTACGATGTAAGGTGGCTGGAGGTTGTCGCCTAAAAAAATCTGTACCACCTAGGTTTCATGGTGCCAGTTGATATTCATCAGTAAGGTCTAATTCATTTCATAAAGATTGTAGCTAGTAAAGAATGTTTCATTTAATTACCGTATATGTAATAAATAAGTGAGTTGTTTCATGCTATTTGTAATGTTGTCTGCTTTCTCTGTATAGATATGTACTGTATATATATTCGTTTGTAACCAATTCGAAACAGACACAATCATTTCTTTTACACGAAAATTTTATTGAAGGAGAAAATGAATATGTGATGTAGTATCTTCTCAATTATTGCTCTTCATAAGATTGTTGTTTTCTCTGTTATTACCACCCAATAATAATTGCTTATTGAATGATACACTTTTAACCATTAAAGTAACAATTTTGTTATCATTGAACTAGTTTTTATCTATATTTATGATCGCATCATTCTGTTCCTTTATTCAACTCTTTTGCGTTTTCTATTTCGGAATGTCCATTTGTTTTGATTCTTAAATAAAACAATGGATAGTGTAAGGCTTTACAAAATCATCAAATTATATTTATATAACCAAGTAGGTTTTATTTTGTGAAAGAACAAAAAAAAAGAAAACTGTTTATTTTCTTTCAACCGTTTAATGACTTTCCTTTTGTGAAACATATTTAAAGTCTTTCGTTCTTTTTTTAATCACAGTTCGAACAACTCACATTCATATTAATGTATTATTTTAACATTAAGTCTCATACATACAGTGTATACAGTTGTGTTAGCCGAATACGCTTTAATAAGTTAGTTCTTGAATATTAACAGCAATATAATTCAAACTTATAATGATACAAACAACTTTCATACTTCAGTCAGTCTTGAGTGTTGTTAGAGGTATAAGAGCGGTTTTCACTTCCCGGTCACCCACACTGTGAAAGGGTTCTTCTAGAAGTACCTGAAAAGGAAATTGGGTTGGAGGTAGTCTTAGTGACCTGAGAGCGTGACCGCAGTGCTCAACGGCTTGAAACCGGTCATACACGACCTGTTTGTCAGTAATTTTCATGTCAGCTCCGTACGTTTTGGGACCTTACCGCAGGGAATGTATATCCATAGGATTAAGTGTATATATTTTTGGGTCAACCTTTTCTAACCACACCCCTTCTTGTGAAAGGCAGCACCATTGTTATGCTGGTTGTTTGAGGGAAACCCCTTCCTGCCGTCTCACTTCTGTACAGTCAGCAGTACTACTTCACCCTCGGACCTCGGGTTTACTGATTTTAGGCTCACTGCTCTTCAAACGAGCTGTCTGGCATGGTAGGACGTTGAGGAACGATTGTTCTAGCCAGTACAGCTCGATTGGTTCATCAAGATAAGCAAGGTTGCAGCAACGGTCGGGACTTCAATGATTATGTGAACTCAGTATCTCAGTTGTTAACACGTTGCCATTTGACCTCAATGCCAAAATAAACATCAACATTGGGTTGTGACAGTTACATCTATCTGATTAGTCCCTAATTGTCCTAAAGTCTAGTTCTCGTCACAATGATCCATTCCAAAAATTTTGCAATCTACATTTGTTCAAAGTTTTAATGAACACATCATGATGTCAAAAAAAATTAGTGCTGAACAAGTTTGAATGTTTCCTTTGAGAATTCTTCGTGGTTAAATTCTTATAATTACATATACATGTTAACTTATTTCATCTCTCTCAACAATTGGCCATATACGAACAATAGTGACATGTGACAGATTACAATATCGCAAATTGTGTACATTGAATAAGTATATGTGTAATGGATCCTAAAGCGCATTATATATTACCTTCTATTCAATAAACTTTGTCAATAAGTAACGATATTTAGTCAGTTGGTTAAATACCAAAGACAGTTATCTTCTATACAAAAAAGGTGTCGCCTGTGAAACATTCACTAAGATATTTCAGAGTTATGGTCATCAATCCTTGCTATTTAAAAATAGTGATCTGTTTATTTGTGAAATGGAGTACTACAAATGTGTTCTGTTGTATTTCTTTATTGATCGTACTGTTTTTTATTTCAACACTTTTTCGGATGTCAGTTCCCCTAACATTGCGGTTATACCTTATTGATGATTATCAACTAGCGAATAACCTAGAGCCAGGATCTAACTCCGGCTACCTTCAACCATTCAACACCTCAACATAATTTACTAAAGAAAATTAGGTAAATATTATGACATCACTCGTTACTATTTAGCGATCAATCAAATATGAATCGTTTTTTTATATTATATTTTTTATTCTCTATCCGTTCTTGTTTTGGCTTCTTTCTTCATTTATCTTTACGTTTTGTCGTTTACTACTACTTACTTTTTTCATCCATTATTAATATGTGATACAATATCATTTACAATCTATTTTCTGCCTTTCCCTGTAATAGCGAGTACATCCTATGAAGTAGAAGGTGTAGCGTTAAAAAGTTGCTTCTTTATGCTACAAAAATACCGGACTCAAATCGATACCAGTTATTTCGTGGAACAGAAATGGTTAGTTAATTTGTTTTTTTTTCTTTTCGTGACACAAGTCGTTTGTTATACATTTATTACGATTTACTTCAGAGCGTAGTCGATTTATACATTATTAATGTGGAAATAGTTCTCAACATAAATTCGTATCAACCGCAAAGCTTACTGTTATAACTGAAAATCAGCTGTTATTTTCAAACATTGAGGTATCACATTTTAGAATTATCAACTTGGGCATCTACTCGTAGCTTCTTGTACAGTTATATTGAGATAATATTATAACCTATTAGTGATTCTTGTTCGTATGTCACTTATCTTTGAGTGAAAGTCGATATCAAATAAATACAAGATATTTGGATTAATCTCCCATCATAAATGACTGTCTAAGCCGTTCACATTCTTCATTCATTCAGTTATCAACTGGTTCTTTGGTTATCTTCAATCAATAATAATGTATATCGAACACGATTGACTATTGTTCAAAAGAGTTTTAGTGATTTCATCAAACAGAAGTCTCGTGGTTTCTTTGAAAGGATAAGATGTTTTACGACATCGATTTTTCGTGCAATGATCTAGTTTACAAAGCGACAGCGATCTTAGTAATTTTTGAATCATCTATGTAAAATATGTCATGAAAAAGTATGCCTCTGTATCCAGAGCTTAAACATTAGATTACTTTTGTATTGAACTTCAAGTTAGTAAGATGATGACATTCACTAGTGATTTTTCTCAGTGTTATCGTAGAATTCTGTGTATGCGACTTACGATGCCCGTACGAACATCGGAGCTGTATGGGGGATTGTAGATTATACATCGAAAAGTTAGCGAAACCTTAATATTCTCGGTTATTTCCAAGTGTTTCCCCGAACCTCTGTTACTACTGATGCAAAATAAAGATATTCTGATGATATTGACGTTAGTTGGCTTTTTTTCTCTATTTCACTTACCACACCCTGTTACCAGAATCTATGGTGGTCTTACAGGCCGACGCACCTGCCATCCATTCTACTAACACTTGAATAATTCTATCATATTGAAGAAGAAAGTATGAGTCTAAATCGGTACTTGATCTACTAGCTGGTCAAATCAGTAAGCTTATAACTGTTATATATTTACAGGTGATTTGATTGATCCAGATAACAACACGTACAGTTGGTGTTTGTATGAATAATCCAATATATGGCAAGTATTTTTCCAATTTATCATTTGGCATTAAACATCGTTTGATCTTTCCGTACTCATCACAAGATTTTTGCATCTCACTAGCCTTTTCAACATAATCGACGCGTTTTTTTTCTTGTTTACTTCTCAAGCCTCCTATTCTTTGGTGGGGTAAACATTATGGATATTTTAGAAAATCAGGGGAGAAAGCCAGTTTCGGATTTTACATTCTTTTACATTCCGCTACCGCCCTTACGTTATTCCGTTGTGCAACTGTAGATGAGTTAGCAAGATGGGAAACTATTTTCAATGATGGTTTTGCTCAATGGCGAGAGCATATGGATACTTTTGAAAGTTTATGTAAGTATAAAATAACTAGTTCCTTTTGCCTTACTGCTTCGTTTGTGTAAGTATTGTTGGTGAAGCTTGCTTGAAACTGCATCATAACAAAATTTATTGAAGAAGTCATGATTCATGTCTTTGGCTAAATACTACAATCCTTTTGTACTATTTATTTCTAAAGCTCTCTTAATGTTTAGACGTTGGATTAGACAAGGTTTGTTTTTTCTGTTTTGAAACTGTTCAGTGATTTCTTTATCGTACAATTTCTTTTGTGTATATGAGAAATGTAATCAGATTGTTGTTGGATTTACTTTTTTGTTTGTTCATTGCAAGAAAAAAAGTTATTCATCAAGCTTGAAACAAAATCTCTGATATCTTTACTATCACTACTATGGGATTTCTCTTGATAATAAGTATAAGACAAAGAAAATGCATCTGTAGCATTCCAACCAATTCCTAGTTATTTGACTCATCTTCTCTAACCGTTGATCGCGGTTTTATCGTCTGCATCAGCCAGGTAATTTGTACCCACGTATATATTACAATCTAGGAGTCTATACTTCATGGAATGATATAACGTTTCGTTTCGCTTGCCCCATATTTCTCACAACCTATATCTGCACTAACCAGCACCAATTCAGTGACTGAACACTTATCCCAACCACCTCAGTCAATTTAGATTCAGTACTTCATCAACCGATTATCCATCTTTATCGAGTACTTGGCGTTCAAACGTATGATTACTCAGCCTGTGGTCGTAATATACACGAATAATGCTTTGAAGGCATATTTGATCACGTAATATGAATCTACAATTATCATTTATTTCTAAAGACCATCTTTAACATCCCTGAAGTAGAGTGGAGTGAAATGCTGAGCAGTATATTTGTATTTCGGTTGGGAAACGGTTCCCTTACCTTTAAGATAGTAAACGACCGTGTATTTATCAAGTTTTTGAGAATATCATGTTTATTTGTTTTTTTACCTATAGCTGAAGAGTTCTCTAAAGCTCGTGATGAAATTGCTGAAAAACAAAAACGAACAGAAGGTATTCTTGAATTACTATACCAATTAAATGATAAACGTCTTACATTCTGGAAAATTTGGGAATTCATTTCATCTGTATTAATTAATGAACGTCTAGCTGAAATGGAAATGCTAACATCTAAAACAGAATCATTGTCTACATCAACACAAACTAATGCAAATCGTTCAAGTATTAAAGTAGACATAACATCACCTCCGATTACACCAAATAATAATAATAATAATGCTCAACAAATTACTACCATGGATACGCTCAAGTTACATACGTTTATTTCAAATCTTGATACATATAATGATTTAGATCAACTTTTTGATTTATTTCATGAATATTGTAAGTTTATTTTCATTAAGTGTTGTTTATTTTGATTCATGTTTCGTACATGGATATGAAAATATTCTTCCTTAAATAAACATTTACCAAATAAAAACACTAAAGATCAAGAAAAACTAAGTTACTGTTTATAACAGTTCGGAATTCTTTAGGTTTCATTGAAATCATGAATCGATCAGTATTTTACTATCCAATTAAATTCAACCATCTCCACAACCCTATACTGACAAATATCATTTGTTCACTAGTGATAATCTTCAATAGGAAATTCCTGTATTTCTAGTAAGCAGCAGCAGAGACAATTGAAGTTCAATCGTGTTGTTTGTGAGGCAGTTACGCACCAAAGACAATTTAAGATGACTGCTCAATATCATGGACTGGTTGAAGTTAGACATTAACGTCGTTGGATGCCGGCTCTATGATCTAGATGTTAAGTGTTTACACGTGAAACAGTAGTTATTAGGTTCAACTTTCGCGTACGAGCTCGTGGATAACCACTACCCAGGAGTCCCATACAAAAGCAACACGGTTATTCACTACTTCCAGGTTTTCAATAGTGATCTAACACTGATCAGTTCATGATCCCAATGCTATTTAATTCCTAGTCTGCTTTGTTGTAAGAGTTCAACAAATAAACTTCTTATATAGACTTATAAAATTCTGAGTTTGTTCATCATTAGAGTAAGGTAGTGAACGCATATTATTGACAAGTTTCTCACACTGGAATGAAAATTAACTATTCTGTATGTTTCATAGTTTTCACCAATTGTCTAGTTGATGCTAGTTTACTACCTAAAAATTGACCGTTTTCACAAACAATATTTTTGAACACCTTTTAAACAAAGTTTAAACTAACTGTGTATACTTAATTTAATCCACTTAAATCATATTTAGAAACTTTCTTCAGAAAAATTTGTTTTGATTTTATTAACCACAATGTAGTTATAATCTTTCATTTAGTTTTTTAGGGTTGGAAACATAGCATGTAGGTGAATCGTATTACATCTAGTAGTTTCTGATAGGCTTGAATGCTATTACGAGTTCACCTTACTTGGTAAACGGAACGAAGGTCAAACATATAGTGATACGATAGGCTATTCTAATCCGTTGTCTACGGTCCTGCTAACTAGATTAAGAAGTCTTGATGAGGTGTAGAGAATGTATTCTACAGGCACCCAGAAAATACGAGGTCTTCTTGTTGTCACGAGCGGCATTGCCAGCCAACTGAAGAACTTCAACTGCCAGGTACTCGAGGACAGTTGCCAAATAAACAGGGGCACCAGCTCGGACACATTCTGTGTAGTTATTCTTGCGAAGGAGGTGATGGACATGACCAACTGTGAACTGCAGACCAGCACGGACTGATCGCGTTTTGGCCTTAGCACGAGACTTCACATCTTTACCACGTCCACTCATTGTCTGTAAGAGTCGATAAGCGTTAACTCGTAATCGCTTCAAACATATCAGTTTCAGCCATTTCTACGTTTATTTAAGATCTGAGTTCTGTATATCAGATCGTAATTTTCACTAAGGATTCTATTTCAAGCATCTGGATTTATCTCAAACTATTAAATATGATTACATCAGTTCAGCTAAGCCCAGTAAGTTGGATAGAAAGGACAAAAAAATCAGTGAAACGTATGAACTCTCTAATAACTACCATTCATACACTTAAATGACCTAAATTACTCACTTATTGAACATTGAAAATTTTATGGATTCTCTTCGGTCTGTAAAATTAAAGCATAGCGTTACTTATATTGTCTGTCTATGTAAATGGTTTTTTGTAACTTCACCATGAAATTTGTTCTAAGCGTCCGTTTTGTTGAAGTTTATATACTTTTTGCTGCTACTTGTTTATTATCGTTTTTTTTTAATCTTTCAGTTTATCGTTTGTCTTTCGCTCTCCTCAGTGGACCGTCTTCCAATTTATCCAGAAGTGCCTCAGATGTAGATGGTAGCAAACGGCCTCAAACAAATTTAGTTAAAAAACACGAAACATTTAGTGTACATGATAGTGTACCTGGTAGGTTTATGCTCTCGTTTATTTTGTTTCATTTATTCCTTGATTGATTTGATTCATGTAACACATGCTGTTACTCACGCAGTTGTTTCGTTTTTGTGATTACTCTAGTGCTGCGAAGAACTTCAGCTGTCACTTTAATTCATTCTTAAGATAACTTATCTCACTTTTGTCGAAAGAAACCGAAATGATGAAGGAAAGATCAAATAAAGTTAATGAAATACAAAGATCAAAGTTTTTCAAATTTTCATAATCACATAATATATTAGTAGTAAAACTAGGCATTGAAAAAAGTTATCAAATCCTCTCTTATAGAGTATGGTGGTTGTTACCGTTAATCCCTCAGTGATAAGTTTGAATTCAGTCGGAAAGATGTGATGGAATCTGTGGAATCCCTATAAAATACCTTTAATCTGTCACATGGTCATTACTGATAGAATATGGATCAAATAAATTTTTATAGATTTTATATGAACTGAGAAGGGATTAGCTCACTATGGGCTGTGTTTGAATAATATTAGTCGCAATGAATTATTCCTTTTTCATTTCATCTCTCCCTCAATTTGTTGTTTTCTTTGCCTCTCTATTTTGTTTATCTTTGTTGTCGTAGCTGTGTTTTTAGAATTTCACCAGTGGATCATTCATTACCAATTTCATTGTATCAATAAAATTTGTTCTATTTATTAAGACTATCATCTTCGTTTATCTAGTTTACTTATATTCAACGTGCCTGTGATTGGTTGGTTTATTGTCATAAAGTTCCTCCACGGTATTGTTTCACTGCTAACGTTTTCCTATTATATTTACCAATATTTCTTGCATTGTTGGTAACTATCGTTTAACATAGTTCTTGATTTAAGTAATTATGGTAGGTAAATCAATTATAAGCAACATAGGACCTTACACATACGTACATATCATCACATTGCAGTGCCATATAAACACAACAAGACGGAATTTTCAAGAGAAATTCGATAGTAGAGGTAGTAACAATATCAGTAGTAATGGCAAATCTTAAATATATTCAATGTAGTTTGTAAAGAATGAATGTTTAAAAATCAAAGTATTTTCTTCTCATAGATTCTGAATCATTTCGCACAATTTTTCCGACCACTGGTTACGACAATCATGTTGACTTTTACTCATTTACCAACATAACTCTGTTCACTACGTCTTCAACAAATAGAGCTATGTTATCTACGTAAATCTAGTAGAGTGAGATCGATTCCATAATAATCAGAGGATAAAAACATTATTATTAAAATTCTTTTTTCTAAAAAAATTTAAAAACTGAACAGCCCTGAAGTAAGACTCTCTTCAATGAACGTTTATTGTAGAACGTTTATCGTAGAGGTAAATATACAGACAGTAAACTGAATAAATTTCAAGACCTTGAACATTTTATTCTTCCATTCCAATGTTCGTCTTTGTTAATATACACCTTTTGATGATTGCTCTTCTGGTGGTCGGCCAGTTTTGCTTGCATTTTTATAAATGAATGCTATAACAATTAATGTATATATTATTCAACTATATATATTCATTACTAAGGTTTTTACTTTGTAATTTCGAATTCACTAAGGATTTAATAGATGATGACGATGATCTATTTTTATAATGTTAAATATCAGAAAATTGAATTTTTGACTTCGTGACTGTCAGGTTAAGTCACTTCTTTAAAGAATATTTAATTTATTCTGTATAGAAGTGACTTACCTCAAGTCATAAAGCACTAAAAAACTTAATTTATTCAAATTCTACAAATATCATTATATATATATGTATATATTCACTGGTCGATTTGACCTAGACCACCAATGAGAACCTGGAATCACCGGACGGCCGTTTCGTCCTAGTATAGCGGTCTAGTTTGGATCTGCTCGTGGGTTCAACTGTGAAAATGCTATGATCTCCGCAAATTCCCATACTGATATATATATATATATATATATATATATATATATATATATATATATATATATATATATATATATATCATACTGTTTACTGAATTTTTTTTATGTACGTTTTCCCGGTGATAATGATTATTTTAGATGAATTAGATAAACTTGTTGAAGAAAGTAAGCGAATTGTTGTACGCAATATATAGATTTAATCACTAAATCTAACCGTTTTGTTTGTTATGTTGCTATACAATACTGAAGTTTATACTTAACATTCAATTGTTTAGACTAACTATCTGTAATCAACATTACAATTTAATATATCTGCACTTTTAAATAGATAACACTAATAATCAATAATATAGGTACATATCATATTTAACCTCCTATCCAGTGAAGTAGCTCTATGTTATGGGTAAAGTTTGCCATAAATACTAAATGTATCATTAACTCCACCACACATAATTGTAACATCATGTAAACATAACGATGGAGAAAATCAGCGAGAATTCCTTAAAGGCAAAGAGTAGGAAGTAATAGTAGTACTAATGATTGTGGAAAAAAATGGATAAAATATGGTTACAATAGAAGAAATGAAGTAAAAGAGTGAAGTGTATCAAACAGTATTTAATTTCTATATCTATGGAAATATAAAGAATCAATGATTTCACACTGATTTTTAGTTTTTCTCACCAAAGAATTCCTAACATTATTGTAAGGGTCCCAATCATATATTCTAAATCTATCAACACTTCTCAGACTTCTAGTCAATGGCTTCGTGAACTGATTTTGTGGCGCTTACCTTTTTTCTAACCTACTCCTACACCAGCCAGCATTGTGTCGCTAAGTAGACGATGATTGGATATATGTGACACATATCCTAGCTGTTTCGGTCAATTAAAATTCACAATCTTATCAACTAATTTTCCGCCTTTACTTAATAGCCACTGCTTAACCCGAGCATTATGCATTTCGTTTTCCACCATTCATAAACACTTTTTTTTTCCAATTTTAACGTAATAGATATGCCATGGAAATGGAGACACTAAATGACTTAGGAATAGTAAGCTTTCCAAAAAGAATAAGTTAGGTGTTGCATGAATCTGTATTGTTGGATCAAGTTTTTTTCTAACAAATAGAGAAATATCACAGATTGAAATCATGAGTCAATTGAAGCTAGACCACCATGGAAAACCTGGAAGCACTGGATGGCCGTTTCGTCCTAGTATGGGACTCCTCAGTAGTGCGCGCCTACGACCCCGCACCCCGCGAGATTCGAACCTAGGACCTATTAGTCTCGCGCCAGGCGCTTAATCAACTAGACCACTGAGCCGGCATCCAGTGGTGTTAATATCTAACTTCAACCAATCCACAAAGTTGCGCCACCGTATACTATTGTCTTCAGTGAGCTGATATCTCACAACAGACCTGGTTGAACTACACTGGTAATGGATTTTCACTAGAACTCCAGGAGTGTCTCTTGAAGTCAGTCGCTACTGAGCAGGTGGTTATTATCAGAAGGAGTTTGTGGAGATTTTAGTAATTTCACAGATTGAAATTATGAGTCAATTGAAGCTGGACCACCGCTGAGGAGTTCCATTCTAGGACGAAACGGCCGTCCAATGCTTAAAGGTTCTCAATGGTGGTCTAGCTTCAATTGACTCATGATTTCAATCTGTGAAATTTCTAAAATCTCCACAAACCCCTTTTGAAAATAGAGAAATAGTCCGACCTCTCTAATCTTCTATTTATATGATCCTAAAATAAATTCAAATCTTTCATTATAAAATTAATTCATTTGAAAGAAAACTCTCTTTTAAAACAAATTTAAATGAAGAAGGTATAATCCATTTAGTTTCCCATATGTGAAATAAATTTAGAAATAGGATACCTTGCCAATTTAGTTATATAAAAAAATATTCCTGATATAATAATATCTAGTTTATTAGTAAAAAGATCTGGTGATTATCAGTATCTTTCATAATCTCATATGCACTAGGTTTTTGTTCTATAAAGAACAAGCTATTGGAAATATGATCTAATGGATTAAAAGACAAGATTTTAAATTAGTAATTAATACAAAAATAAGTAAGTATATTGGTAATCTCTTAATGTTATCAAATATCTGGTATTCTTATTACAAAATAGACTAATGGAGAATTTTCTTTCTTCAAACAATTTACCTGTAAATACCTATCCAAGTCACTGCATGTATGTATATATATATTCCTTGGCGTAACTTGTTCACCAAATACAAGTTTGTCTACTTGACTTGAAGACACTGTGTCAGGTCTAGGGATGCTACTCATATTGAAGTGGGTGGACTGAGACTCGAAATTCATCTTCCAGCTGAAAGTCAAATACCTTGACCGCTCCTATACGAGTTTATATATATAGATATATATATATGATTTAATAGATTCTAGTGCTTCCAGGTTTTCAATCGTGGTCTAACATCAATCGGTTCAAGATCTCAATCAATAACTTAATAGATTCCATCATAAATTTCACAGGTTGAAATCATGAGTCGATTGAAGCTAGACCACCATGGAAAACCTGGAAGCACTGGACGGCCGTTGGATGCCGGCTCAGTGGTCTTGTGGTTAAGTGCTCGCGCGCGAAGCCAATAGGTCCTGGGTTCGAGCCCCGCGTGGTGCGGGATCGTGGACGCGCACTGCTGAGGAGTCTCGTACTAGGACGAAACGGCCGTCCTGTGTTTCCAGGTTTTCCATGGCGGTCTAGCTTCAATCGACTCATGATTTCAACCTGTGAAATTTCTAAAACTCTCCACAAAACCCATTCCATCACAAATATTCTACTTGTGACTGGAGAAAATATTCCGATTCTCTCTGGTTTTTTGTTCATTCTTCTTGACCTTTGTTGATCGCCTGACACTGCATCGGCGAGACTATGATTTTTGAACGAACCAATCAGATTTACGATAACAGGTTTTGAATTTTGGCGCAAAATTAATTGATCCATTTAGTTAAATAGAGTTTTAGCAGTATAGCTGATGTCAGTTCTAGATGAAAACCCTTAAATCTAATTCCTAACCCTAATTACCAACTGTAAATATTAATCTTAATTCCTCACATTGGTGTATAATTCTGATTTGGTCGTCGTACGTGCGTGGACATTTTCAAGGTCTTTTTAGCGTCACTCAAAGATCGTTCATAAATTATGGTCTCATCCATTGTGTCTTTTAATATCGAATATGTTTCGTCGTATATTTTCAGTAGTTAATATACAAGTTTTGCAATATTAGCTAGTTCATTACTCCTTGTGGATTTCTGTAGTTTTCCAAATTCTAAACAAAAACTTTCATCTTTTATTCTCATAGGGTGTTGTTGTTGTTTTTTTATACATAAAATCACCCTTTTACACTTTTTCCACCCTGATAATTGGGAGAAAACTTTATTGGATATACTAATCATAATCGAGTAATATAAACTTAAGTTCTCAATATAATACAGGTCAACTATGTAATAGAACTCTAACAAAGGAATATGCTAAACATTTATTATTATTATCATCATCATCGTCATCAAGAAATTTGTATTTCTTATGATGGTTTGTATGTAAAATTATTCTTCGATTTTTTTTCTTTTATTATTAATCATTGTATTACAAAGAAAAAGATTGCCGTAGCAACACTAACTTATTTAGTTGAAGAAATCACTGTTTTTCATCTGGTTTAATTTTAATGCTTCACAGTAATCTGACAGATTATATTAAAGTGTATAGGAGAAACAAAAGGTAAAATAGAAGGAAAATAGAAAGTATCAGAATGTTTTTTCATCTTAATTAATTAATTTATTTTAACACATAGATATTGGTAAAAGGAGGCACCAAATATATACGCGCCACACAAATCTCACTGGATATGTGTGAGGGTTGTGATACTGTCCGGGTGCCCTAACCGAAACAGGTGGTTTTCTTAGGGGGACACACCCCGACCCTTCGACCTGAAGGTCTGATCCACAAGGCAGTGGAACATCGTAAGGAGATGCAGTCCCATGGAAGTCGGTGACCAACAATCGGTTCACACGCCATTTATTCCCGCAAGATACTGGAGTCCATGTACACCATTGGTTTGGAATCCGGTTAAAGCGCCGAACATTCGCTTTTCTTCCTCTCATTTTCGTAAACAGCACCCCAGCCAGGAGAATTGTTATAGCTTTAAGTTGGGCCGATTTTTACCCTGTGCTAATTGTTGTGTCCTTGACTGGAAAATTAGAGAGCAGCGTACTTATCGATCGATTACAGTGACACGTAAACACGTACGGACGGCCTAGAGTCTCGATTGGTCCCACTTCCCTGTCTAGCCCAGTTAGTTGAGTCCAGAACAAAAGTCACAGCCTCGGAGATATGAATCATTATATTTCAAACATACTTTGTTTATATACCAATCAAGCATACCACATCGTACCATAAAATAGAAAACAACATTTTGTACAATATTCAACAAGTGAACGGATATCGACCAATAGGAAATGTACATTTAAAGTCCAAGGACACCATTGGACTTAACATGATAATTATTGGTCTATTCCTCCGCATCCACAACGAGAATTCAGTGAGTAGAACTCCCCTGCCAGAGGCAATATACGCGTGACCATGTGAGAGCATTTCTAGAGGGAGAGCGGACTCTCCTCACTCCCGGCCGTACCAGGGCATTTAAGGGCTTATCTTAAACAAACTATTACATAAACAAATGGTTAACTAATTAATTAATTACAAATGTTGATGTTAAAAAATATTGATGCACTTTGGTTTTCACAAAACATCGATGTTAGCCTATAGATTTTCATCCGACTATTCATTATTCTAAGCAAAGTATTTGATGTACATGTGTTTGGAGAATGTTTACAAAGACTTTTCTAACTTGTTTGAAAGATGTTGTTTTACCGTCAAACACTAACTGTAAATTAATTAACACGTTTGGAGAATATCCTTCGCATCATATATATATATATATATATATATATATATATACGTATCTTATTTCAGTTCACATCCTCAACCTCTATTAGTTTCAATTTAACCTTAGATTCAATTATTTTTTCTGCAAAAGACGATTGTTCTTTGTGTTTTTGTTGCTCTGGATTACACACTAATCATTTAATTCATTCACATTTTAATAGCTATGTTTGTAGATAACAATAATTTAAACATTTCTTGTTGCAGCTACCTTTTGCTTTTATCAAATTATTGTTATTGTTATGCATCTAGTTAGTTTTATATGATAATATGATCAGGCGCATTAATGTGATAATATAAATGGATTTTTGCGCTGACAACACACACACGATTCCGTTAATGAAGTTGAAAGTTGGGAATGAGACCTACAGAATTGAATAAACTACGTTTTGAGTGTTTGTGGAGCAATCCAAAAGTGAATCATTTTTATCTTCATCATTACAATAAACCACAGAAACACACTATGTATCATGTTAACAAGGTTTAAAATTGTTCGAAAGAATTCCCTTTGTCATCATACATTGAAACGGATAATGTTAGATGTATCAAATACTCACTCTCCTATATACATAGTTTATGTAACACATAAATTAATCAGTTTTATTGTAGCATACTTCGTTCTTGATAAGCATGCGAAGATAAACTATTTTATTAATGTTAAATTGAATAAAAGGTGTGAAATAATGAAGTAAGAATGCAAAATCCGACAACGAGTTTTATATATGACTTGTTCATATGGAGACGGCGACAACAACTGTTCTTCACATAATTTCATCTGGGTAACTCTTCAATGAATTATTTATTGATGAAGATCTTGCAGTTGATGATGAGGTTACCATTGAACTGTTTATGATTGTACGAAAGATTCAAGAAAAGAAACTCTTTACATGAATAATCAATATCGTTATGTGTTTGTGTTTCTAAGAAATTGAGATCAGAAAACTGATACTAAGAGGATGAAAAAACACTGGAGTCTAAAATGCTTCATTACTCCTATCTGCAAAATACTTTTGATTTATACAGACATTTTGATCATGAAATGAGAAGTGGCTGCAGCATCACATTGTCAACTAAGAATCGCTTAAGGTTGACCCTGCTATACACCTTTACCCGTTTCTCTAAAGAGTGTTTCTTCCAAAACTAATTACTACATAAATCTTGTTCAACAATATATACAATATATTGTTACATGCAATTTGAGTAGTAATTAATCTCAGAAAATAATTGTAAGTTTATAGTATTGTCGCACTGGAGCAATTCCCAAACTGACAGTGTGATCCGGTAGCTAATTACTACATAAATCTTGTTTAACAATGTATACAATATATTGTTACATGATATATAAGCCTACTCACCCCATATATTATCATTTCGATTAATATAGGTTGGAGTGTATTTCTTTTTATTTTCGTACTTCTACGAAAAAATATGTGTCTATGAAATGTTTCGTCTAAATGTTTCACTGAGGTTCACTTGATGTTCAGAGTGTTTAGTCGTAAACCCTCTTTTTACACTTTATGTAAACGATATATATATATATATATATATATATATATATATATTGGTTTGGATTACTTTTTTCTGGTTGGCGTTTTTTAGCGAGTTAGTTTTCTACGTGATGGGGTCGCTAACCACATGCTCGACTTTTCTTCCTTATCCGGGTGGGGGGTCGGCGATAACCCCAGAGGGGTTATATATATACAGATATATACGGAATGTGTGTGCCTCAATCCCAAACTTCCTTAGCTGAATTTACAGTGATTGTTTTCATTGGATTCTTTGCTCTGAACCAGACAGTTTAATTACTATGCTTTTTTTGTCATGCTGATTATTATTAGAACTTCATGTAATATTGAGTCTGTTAGTTCTTTCATATACGTATTAATCATTTTTTATTGTAGTCATGTTTGCTATTGGTTGTCTTCATGTTGACTGTCAGTTGTGATTGATTGATTGATTGATCTCTTTTCCTTATGAGGTGATAATAAGTTGAATATTCCTCGATGACCATAGAATTTTGAATTTAGCTTAGACTTATTTTTCGTATAAAGTTCAAACTAACGATCCATTCATCTCTTTACAATCATCGTAATCTTTTTACATTTTAGTGGCTAATGAATTACGATCGTCAATTGATGTTGGTCGTATGAAATCAAAGAAGGTATGTTGTTATTTAAGTTGTATTAATCGGACGTTTTGTGATATCTTTGCTGCACTTGTTTTACTGTTTTCATAACATAACATTTATCTGTTCCGTTAGAGATGGGTTGGTAGTGGTAGTGAACTCGAAACTCTGCTGAACTTAGTTGTCGTATTAGTTACCATATATCACCATGGTATTTCCTATAATTCTGGGGAAACTTGTTGATTCGAACCTAGACTGTCTAGCTTCTCAATTTGAAACATTGCCTTTGAGCTAGTTGGGTCTCAACTGCTGTCATGTCGTGATTTTATGATTGTGACCCATTAATTGTGGAATTAATCACCAATTTCGCTGTCATATCCAATATTCATTCAGTCATATTAGTTTATTGTGTAAGCAGCCTAATAACATTTATTTATTACACGATGACTATTGTGTTGCTCTATGAATTTATTGAATACTTTATAGGTATATTATGATGTGTTTATGTGGTTGAAACTGTCAGCAAAATTGGAAAGTCTTCTATTGCGTAGATGGCTAAGCGTTCGACTTTGTGGTGTTTTGAATTGATCATTGACAAAATAGACTTTTTTGACAATTCAGTCCTTACTCATGAATAGCAAATTCCACTTCCTCAACATTACCGTACGACGCGGAGAGAATAGTACAATCGAACGTTCTTTTTACCGAAAAGATGCCTGGAATGGTGTTTGTCTGAAGTTTAATACCTTTTGTCCGATTAGTTACAAAAAGCATTTATCAAAACACTGTTCCACAGAACGGAAAAGATACATTTTACTGATACACCAGAAGCAGAATTAATAAACGTAAAAGAATGGCTGAGGAACGATGGGTATCCAAAGAAATTGTTGAAAATAAGAGGAAAGTTAAGACAAAATACCTAAAGAAACCACAGCAATCAAAAACATATTTTTATCCAACTTGAATTTAAAAGAGATGATGTTACAGTGACAATCAACAGAAGATTAAAAACCACACTGATCAGAACTTATCCAGTATAAAACAATATGTTCTTAACTCCGATCAAAGATAGATTGATACCCCTTTCATGATACCACTAATTGCGTATAGAAATGGACGTGCACCTGACAAAGCAGTTGTATTGGCAGAACAGTAAGAAAGGCCTACGTTCAATTCTAAGAAAATATCCCAAAAAGTTTAAGATCGATGGGATTAAAGGCTTTAACAGTGCTACTGTAAAACATCTATGTGACACATCAAGCATCGAATTGACAGACACATTTTTCAGCATTATCAATCGACAGTCAAATTCGATGAAGCTATCAGTCAGTAACAACGTAGAACTTCGTACATACGTACGTCAGTTCGAGTTGTCATACCACATTAGCACAGAAATGCAGTTGTCGATTCAAATCCCGTGGTGGTAGAGCTAGTAAGAGTATAAGCGGTAATCGGAAAGATTAGGGTTTGGAGATGTTATTTAAAGAATATAATCCAGTGAAATAAATTTGGGAAGAGAAAAAAAGAGACAATGAAGAATCAGGAGATTAGAATTTGGAAGAACACAAAGAGTGTATGCACCTGCTCCATTGCAAACGATCTTGAGCCATGTCATTAAGGGTCTCTAACCATCAGTTGCTATCATCTCGCGGTCCACAACCAGGAGTCTACACCTACCAACATGACTCAGTCCACTTGTCAGTGACTTTATGGACTTGTGCGATATTTTGGTCTGGCCCCCTTAGCTTTCTTCCAACACATTCCTATACCATTGAACATCGCACGATGAAGCACAAACAACTTAAATCGGACTTATTTGTCCCAAAGAAAACCATTGTAACTAGTTATTATCAGTTTGTTACATCAGTCTTGCAATTTTTATGAATAGTATCATTTCTTCCAAACTCATAAGCTTGTTGTTTGTTTTTTAACTGACTGATCTCAACTCATGTTATTCTTAATGGTTATTAATTTATGTTTATCTAATTCTATTACATAATCAATCAATTCATTTCTTTGATCCGATGGTCTAGAATCTTCTTTCACATAATAATTTATACGTCTTCACTCTCACTATTCCATCATGATGATACATATACATTCTCACTGTAATACTTATGTAAACTTTACTATAACTTTAATTTTTAAATAGTAAAGGTTGTAATTTTAATGGTTGAGATCATGAGTCAGTTGAAGCAAGTCCACCATAGAAAACCTGGAAGCACTGGACAGCCATTTCGTCCTATTATGGGACTCCTCAGTAGTGCGCATCCTTCACGCCACCTCGCGAGTTTCGAACCCAGAACCTATCAGTTTCGCGCGCGAGCGCTTAACCACTAGACCACTGAGTCGGCATCTAACGGTGTTAATGCCTAACTTCAACTAAGTAGCTTATAAGTACCTTACGAATAAAATGAATTCGTGTTATTTTGTTCAATTCTTTGTTCTTATTTTATTCAAGATAACTTGATTTCATGTAGTCCATTTACACTTCATCGTAAACATGACAGCTTGTTTAATAAGAACATATAACATGATATTAGTTCACTGCGGATAATGACCAACTCATCAACAAACCTACTGTAATACATGAAAAGTTCACTGTTTTTACATAATTAATGTAATTTTCAAAATTGAATATAAGTTTTAAGCCAGTTTATTTATATGTAGGCCATAAACCATACTCATAACCCGTAAACTTAATTCTCTTATTTTATAATAAAAGCTCATTCACAATTAGTTAATTTTGATTGGCCGTTTTTCGTACAGTAGTCTAAAGTCTTTTAAGTACCTAATGAAATTTCCCTCATTAAAACTAATTGTAACACATTCGATAGACAACATCGTGACTTGATATTTACTCTGTGACCTTGGAGTCCTTTTCTTGATTCTTATTTGTTCCTAACTTTTTATTCTATGATTTCTCTGTTTTAGAGAGATGTTCATCGACTTAGTGCTACTATGGCTAGTATATTCCGTACACCTAGTCGGGATAAACATTTTACTTTGAACAATCAATCATCTACAGATCATGGTACAAATGGCTGTGGTATCAATACAACTGGAACATATAAATCCATTAAACAACGTCAACCTTTATCTTCTTCCTCACGTACTCAACAACAATTATCAGGTCCTCCTCTACCTCCACGTCCACCACCTACAGTTTTAGCTCATTTAAATCTCACTGGGGGAAGCGGAGCAGGAGTAGGTGCTAATGAACAACTTTCGCCAACCAGTCAATTATCACTCAATCATGACAGTTTAACTGATGTATCGAATTCATTGATTGTTTCAGATCAACCATCTTCCGAGTCATTAATATTACTTGGGGCATTAAATCACATAGCTGGTGCCCTCTTTGTAAGTGTGGTTTTTTGTACGTATTAACGATGTACAGATTTTTGTACTAATCAATGGATAGCAACTTTCTGCATAACATTTAAGCATACAATGCAAAGTATACTTTACAGGTGACCTTCAATGCCACCTAGAATGACCTTGAATAGGTGAAAGCCACTTTTTAACCAATTAGAATATATTACGTAAAACCTTGAGAAGAGTTTATGGTTAAGATTTAAAATTGAGGATTAGGATTTAGGCTTAGAAGTTTGAGTTACGAGTTAGTTGTAACGATTACGAATCAGATTAGAGAAATACCTCGCAACCATATGCCTCAGGACTGGCCTGCATCAACACCTGAACTAAGGGTAGAGAGTGAAGTAGTCGAACGCGTTGACAACTTCACTTATCTTGGAAGTCTGATCAGCCCTAATGGGTTGGTGTCTGACGAAATCTCAGCATGGATTCAGAAAGCTCATTTGGCTTTTGCCAAATTACGTCACCTTCGGCGAAGGCGAGATATCCGTCTATCAACCAAGTGACGAGTATTCTGTTTTAATTTATGGCTGCGAAACGTGGCCATTAAGAGTAGAAGATACTCGTTAGTTACTAATGTTTGATCACAGATGTCTTAGAAATATTGCTCGCATCTGCTGAGATCATCGGGTAAGTAATAGTGAGGTTAGACACAGGGTATTAGGGAATGATGGTAAATCAGTTGATGAGGTTGTGAATCTTCATCGACTGAGATGGTTTGTCAACATGTTGCCTATGCCTGAACACCGATTACCACGACGAGCAATGCTGACTGGTATTGGAGATGATTGGAAGAAAGTTAGGGGCGGTCAAACCAAAACGTGACATCAGTGCTTGTAGTCACTAGCTCCTAATCTGAGCCATGTTGGTAGATGCAGACTACTTGGTTGGAGTCCACGTGATTTTCGTAACCAATGGTTGGAGACTCTGGAGTGACATTGCTCAGAATCGATCACAATGGCGTAGGTGTATACACTCTTTGTCTTAACTTAAGCCGTTAGATTAAATTGCTTTATATCTTTCTTTCTGTGAACTAATTCTTTCTTCCTGTACCATATCCTTATACATAATCTTTTTTTATATATTACCACTATTGAATTAACCACTTTTATGTAAACGTTGTTCATCTTATTGTGCTAATGAGGTGTGACAACATGAATTGATGCATATAAGCACTTGGTCTTACGTTGTAGCTGAATGACTGAGCATACGAAGAAATTATTAGTTAGATTCTTAACTTTAAATATCAAAAACCTTCAAGTTACCTTCAAAAATCGGTATATCAGGTTATGTTACATATGGAAAGTTAATCACTTTGTCATCATTGTAAGAACCGATTAGGTTTATCCCTTATTCTTAAATCTTTCCATGTTTATCAATTTTAAACATCTTAATAATTAACAATAATGGTAGGTTTTGCTTATATCTTATTAAGGTTTTAATAAGATCCAAGTTATCCATCATCACATTTTGAATTTCGAGCGAAATTCCAGTAGGCTTTATCTTCAATCTGATTATTTCGTTAGTGAATTAGGATATTTCTTTTATTCAATGCATAAATAGCACTCATGGTTTTGTTTTCTCAATATGCAATTTCTTGGTATATATTGCTGAATAAAATACTGTTATTTTTTTTCCGAAACCTCACCATGTGTCTAGTCACATTCTGGTTTATGATTAGTCATAAAATCAACGATATGCTCACAAGACCATACCTGTTGGTTTGATATGGTGGTTCGAGCTTGCATATTAGAATGGCGCAAATAATATTTTTTTGTCCTGAACGCTTGTTCGTTTCAGTGGTACAACACCAGGGAGGTCAGTCAGAGAAAGATATCACCAAAAGCAGCAACCTGATGTAAGAGAACAAAGTTGCACTGTTGTCTTTACAGTGGAGAGACATTAGCGTATCCGTCAGACAACCATCATCTACAACAGTTCTCCGTTCTCATAACGAAAGGATGGAGTTTAAAACGGTCTACCATAAAAATGTCACACCTTATCTTATTCCATTGGATTCGGTCGCTAGTTCAAGAGCATTTTTAAGTACATAGCTACTACATCGAAAACTTCGCACACTAAGACCGTTTTTGATCGGTCTAAGACAGTTGTCTCTTCGACTCTAGAATATCATTAATCCGGTTTATTTATCAGATCCGCCAAAAAGAAACATCGTTTCATGGCGTGTGTAACCGAAAAAGTGAAAACTACCTTCTTACTTCTAAAACCACACAAGATTACCTCGTTCTTAATTAAACCATACATGTAATCCACCAGTTTATTTCCGAGCTTAGGACATAATCACCTCAATGTTGTGGTCTTGTCAATAGCTAATAATATCTTTCGACAAATTTAAACTACATCTCTTATTCCCCTGCCTGCTTAGTTCAAGCACACCTATTTTTGTCAACTAGTCTACAGTATTTAAATAACACTAACTCACTTAAACATTCAATTTTCTTCAAACAAGAACTAAAACAAATATTAGGATCTCAAACAATTTAATGATTAATAAGTAAATTCTGATAATATTATCTAGAACGACAATAAAAGCTTTGCAATAAAATCATCTAGATCAGAGAAATCCACAACACTGAAAGCTTCCGTGAGAATAACAAATCTCCACCATACTAACATGCATAGGGCTTCTGATATACATCTACCCTTCTACTATATATATTCCCAGCTGTTATCTTACCAACCATTTTGTAAATTCTTATTTATTTTTCAACTCAAATTATCATCACATACAAAAGTTCATCAATGTTAATGATAATATTAATTCTCTGTACAAATTCCAAACTTATATTTTCAATGTAGAAGTATTTCTATCACAAACCTTGATTAGAATGACCATTTAATTGAAATCAGATCATTTTGATCGACAAATTCAGTTCTGCCATAGATTTAAAATCATGAAGTGGTTTTAGTTATACCACTATTAAAAACTTGGAACCACTGAACGATCGTTTCTTCTTCACGTTCGTGCACGATACCGAAAGTTCTAGGTTTGACTCTCGGATTCAGAGTCTTATATGGTTACCGCTGAGATTTCCCATGCTAGGACGGAACGGCTGGCCAGTAATTCTTAGGTTTTCAATGATGGCCTAGCCAAGATTGGTTTTATTTATGATGTAAGAAGATTATGAGCAACTTGTTGAAAAACACTATGCCAAGAATTTTATATTGTACTAATACATATATTATTGAATAAAGCTATTAATAATAATTAAAAAATAAAAGTAAAAACTCAAAGGTTGTGGTCATATTCAATATTTTCAATGTCCATCAGGTATTCTGAGTTTAACACTTCCGGTTATTTTTCTGTTCTGTTTTTGGCTATATACTACATAGTTTAGTATGCTTTTCATTGGAGATTTTATTTCAAGTCGTAGTTTTTAATATATTTGTGTTTTTCGTCTGGATCGCTTGGTTGCGCTACAGAGACGTATTTAGCACTTATCTACCAACTGAAAGGAAAATAGTTAAAATTGCTGAGTATAGCATTGGAAACGTTGCTGATAATTTCAGCCATGATTATATTCGAAGCTAGAGATCTCACGGCAAATTAGATGACTCGGTACTGATTGACCTATGAGACTCGGTTGCTAACCAATCAGACACAATATACTGTTATTAAAGCGATAACATAACTAACCAATCAGCTTACCTATTATCAATCTTTGTGCTTGAATTTCCTTCCAAAGACTCAGTTATCATTTCAATTTTATAATCATTACTCTTATATATTTCATTTCTATTGGATGCAAAGCTCTGGCTTTTTTATCCGAATAGCGATTGCTTCAGCCGTCTGCAAGATTTTCAATCTGATGGAATTAGGTAGACTGTTGTTAACACTATACATTATTGCAAAAGATTACTCCATGTTGACTGTATGTCCCATCTGAATTAAATGGGTTAAAATGGAGCTGTTAACCGTTTTGACTACACCTTTGCTTAACTACACTAAGAGGTGTCCACGAGCCAGAATGTACAAATTTCTAGAACATCTGCTCCTGTTGAGCAAGTTATATTGGCAAAACCCAGTGCTTCCATGTTTTTCATGGTGGTCTAGCTTCAATTGACTCATGATCTCAACTGTTGAACTTATCAAAATCTCCACTAAACCCCTTTTGATATATGATCACAAAGTTACATCATCTTTATTCCGTTTTAATGTTGTTTTCATTGTTTGTTTGTTTTGTTTTTTTCAAGCCTCAAATACAATTATTACGTACAGAAAATGTTGAATTACGTTCTACTATTAATAAATTAGAAATTGAACAATCTAATTGGAAACATTTTCGTAATCGTGATAATCAATTAATTATGCGTACTTCTTCATTAAATACTGGTAATGGTAATATCACTCATACAGATCATCTGAATAATTATTTCATGGATAATACAACAGTAAAACAAGAAACAGAAAAATTACGACAAGATTATGAAAATTTTACTAAGAAATCAAATGATTGGGAAAAAGAATATCAAAAACAACGTTCTACTATTGAAAGAGAACATAATAAAATTGCTAAAGAACGTGAATTATTAGAAAATGAACGATCTGAATTAGAATATCGTCAACGTCAATATGAAGAATTACGTAGTACATTACAAGCACAATTAAATATATATAAAAAAATGGGTTTAAAATTAACACCTATCAATAGTACAGGTATGTTTGTTTTTTAATGTTCATTTTCTGTAATTGTTATTTACTTCATTATTATGAATTATTTCTGCTTACATCACACAGTGACTTCAGTTAAACAATCATTTAAAATCTTGTCATTTTAGTACCTAAATAGTTGCTTAGTATAGCTGACGTACAATACTTCGGATCCGTTGGCCAGATACTATTAGCAACAACCTACTGTGGGAGAGAATAAACCAGATCCCAGCAGAGGAAGAAATCAGGAAGAACCGCTGGAAGTGTATAAGACATATATTGAGGAAAGCACACAACTGCATCACAAGGCAAGCCCTCACATGGAATCCTCAAGGCCAAAGGAAAAGAGGAAGACCAAAGAACACATTACACCGAGAAATGGAAACAAACATGAGAAAAATGAACAACAATTGGACATAACTAGAAAGGGAGGCTCAGAACAGAGTAGATTGGAAATGTTTGTTGGCGGCTTATGTTCTATTGGGAGTAACAGGCAAATTGAATTGAATTGAAACTTCGGATTATTGACTTTTATTACTTTTATATTCGTTAATCAACCGTTATAGTAAGTGCGTCTTAACGTGGTCGGCAGGTCGGTGCTTCATATGTGTCTGAGATCACGTCCATTTAACCACAAGGATACTGAACATCATTTAAAATTCATTAGCTGGATTTGAACTGAATTGGAATTGAGTTCTCGAAGTTCACTTCTCATCATTCTTCACTTGGTTTTTCAATGATTAGGACGACCAATTTCCGGCCTCTAAACTCCAGCTTCAAATCTTGATTCACTTTGAACGAGAACTCCGGTGGTGACAACCAATTTATTGTTTAATACAAAATTACAAATATCTTCTTAAAATATGAGAACCATACATTAAATACTTCATTTTCAAATCTATCATTTGTCCTTCACATTTTGGATGACTCTTCCTATTCACAGTTCATTTCTATTTCCATTTCTTTTTTAGAACTTCAAGAACTTCAAGCAAGTTGTAATGCAAATGATTTTAATTCACAATTAAACCAAAGTAGTTCCTCTATAATAACCAATTCATTTGATGATTATTTAAATGAATTATCTGGAAATAATAATACTGAAACTAATCGAGTCAATTCTGGTGGTATCAATGATTTTACAAAACCAATACATTTTTATTCAAATAGTGATGATTTAACAGGATCTCGACGTGCTATTACTAGTCATTCTACTGATGTAAAACAAAGCTATATATATTCTACAGATATTGATCATAATCCAAAACCATCACTTGTACCGTCTAGTTCAACACGAAGTGATAATGTACCGGTACATTTACGTGGAAGTTTAGTCAATCAAGTATGTGTTTATCTATTGAATCAATCTTGGGACTATAAAATTCTTTTATTTTGATTTTATTTATTTATTTATTTGGACACATGAATATTGGTACAAGAGAGCGCCAATATATATGCGCCACACAAAACAATGAAAATTCGAGAGAATACAAAGAAAGAAAAAAAAACTAAGGAGCGCAACAAAAAAAAGAGAACAATAACGAAGAGATTGGTGTAAGGTAGTGTGGTAGTAATCAGGGAACGCAAAGGTACAATCAGAAGAAATCTTTCAGGTAAGGGAGACACAACCACTTTTTATGAAGAAAGTAAAAGAAGGTTACAGCAGGATCGCCACTGGCTTCTATTCTGAGCCATATCTGATAACGTCTCTAGCCACTGTGTAGCACCATCTCTCGGACCCCAACCAGGGAGTCGTGAAGGACCAACACAAGCCAGTCCTTTGCAGCTTTCTTTCATGCCACGACACCATGTCATGCACTGACCACCTCTCCGCTTCTTCCAACCAGTCCCAGAGTCGGCAAATAATGCACGACGTGGAATTCTCTGGGACGACATTCGGAGAACATGTCCAAGCCACCGAAGTCGGTGTTTCAAGATGGTGACACCAATTGAATTATCATCTCTGTGCCCGAACACACGATGCCGAACCTCTGCATTACTGACATGGTGTTGCCACTGAATGTCAGCAATCCTTCGGAGACAGCGATGATCGAACACAGAGAGTCGTCTAACGTCCTCAACTCGGAGAGGCCAGGTTTCACAAGCATAGAGCAAAACTGCTCTCACCGACGCGTTGTAGATCCGACCTTTTACAGCCAGACTAACATCACGAAGGCGCCAAAGGTGGCCCAGATTGGCATAAGCCGCTCTGGCTTTCACTATTCGTGCATTGATCTCATCACTCACACCCCCACCAGCACTTATGCAGCTACCCAGATACACGAACTTCTCGACTACGTCTATCTGCTCACCATCCAGGGTGAGTACAGGATTAGAATCCTGCCAGTCTTGTAGAAGTACTTTGCACTTCGAAGGTGCAAAGCACATACCATACCTACGGACACTGATTGCCAACTGATTAAGTGCGGATTGCATGCCTTGGGCATTATCGCACAGTAAGACAATATCGTCCGCATACTCAAGGTCGAGAAGTCTTTCTCCAGGCAACAGATCCACACCACCATTACTTACATTCATCAGAGCTGTTTCCAGAATGTCATCGATGGCAAAGTTGAAGAGGAATGGTGAGATTGGGCAACCCTGCCTAACCCCACTGCTCGAATGGAACAATGGAGAGAGGTGGTTGTATGCCCTCACTCTGCCTGAGGTGTTTTTATATAGGGCTTTTAGGATGTTAATAAACTTCTCAGGCACACCCTTCTTCAATAGACAATCCCAGAGAACAGTCCTGTCCAACGAATCGAAGGCAGCCCTGATGTCAAGAAACACTACGATTGTTGGCCTTTGAAAAGTATGGCGGTGTTCTAACATTTGGCGGAGGGTGAAGATATGATCAATACATCCTCGACCAGAACGAAACCCAGCCTGCTCCTCGCGAGTCAATCTTTCTCGGGTTTTGAACAACCTACGAAGATGACGGAAGCCAATAGCTTGGACGCAATCGGAAGTAGACTTATCCCCCGATAGTTGTTACAGGAACGACGTGAACCCTTTTTAAAGATAGGGACAACTATCGACTCATTCCATGACGTTGGTACACTCTCTAGTTCCCAAACCTTTGTAAACAACGTCGTCAATTCCTTAGTCAAAAAGTCACCACCATCTTTAAAAAGAGCCGGAGGTAAGTCATCTGGGCCAGGTGATTTGTAACGCTTCAAGAGTTGGAGTTCCTTGCGGACTTCCTCCTCGGGATCAGTCGTCACCGGCCATGGAGGGCAGGACAGTCTGACCGATGTTGCCGGAGCAGCAGGCCAGTTGAACTGCCCTTCGAAAAATTCTGCCCATCGTCCAAGACGTCGATGGATGTTAGTGATTGGCATCCCATCATCCTCGCAGATTGTTTCACTCACACCAGACTTCTTGCTGCCAGTGGCTCGGATGAGCTGGAAGAGCTTCCGGTAGTTACCAGATGCAGCTGCTGCTTCCAGCTCATTAGCACGCATCGACCACCAGGCTTCTCGGTCCTTACGCAAGCTTTGCCCAATTTCCTTACGTAACATCCTTCGTTTATGGTCAAACTCACGGTCACCCGGAGTAGACCGACGGGCTTCAATGAGTTGTAAGGAACCAGAAGAAACCCAGTGCTTAAAAGCGGGACGTTTCGCAAACCCACAACTGACTGTTCCCGCCATTTTCATGGCGTCATGCAATTGCAACCAATGCTCATCTATACTTTTCGGTGGAGTGGTAGCTAGCCTAGAGGCTAGCTCGGTTCGATACTTACTTGCAACAGAAGTTGCAACCAGCTTGCTAACATCAATCCGTTGATGGCGGTCACTTCGTTGTCCACTGAAAAGTAAGGCAAGATTGGCGCAGACCAAGGCATGGTCAGAGTCCAGATAGGTACTCCAAAAGGAGCGGCAGTCTTGTACACAACCACGCCAGCGGTAGCTGATCGCGATGTGATCAATCTGAGTCCAGGCTTGAGATGCAGAGGGAGGACGCCAGGTGGCACATCGGCGATGACTGTGCCGAAAGTTAGTGCTAGCCAGAAACAGGTTGTGGTCTGTGCAAAGTTGCAGTAGACGGTCCCCGTTATCTGACCTGCGACCAACGAGTCCCCATCGGCCACCTAAACGACTCTCTTCTGTGCCTAGACGCCCGACCTGAGCATTCAAGTCTCCGGCTAGTACTACAATATCTGTCGAACGCACTTTCTGGAGAAGAACAGATAACTGGTGGTAAAACTCATCCTTGATTGCATCCGGGCTGCAATCTGTCGGGGCATAGGCGGAGATGACGAAAAGACATCGTTTCTCACGCCGATTTCTTCTCACTTTGATGGAACTTTCTAATCTAACAGCACATAACCGACTGTTAATGGGGATCCAATCGACTAGTGCTGCCTCAGCTCTAGCGCTTAGTGCGACACCAACGCCAGCAAGACCAGACGAAGATGCCACAGGGTCCCCGGATAAGCGCACGTAAAACAAGCTTTTCGAAGCGACAGATGGAGATCGAATTTGTAGTACTTCGCCAGAGTCTTGAATACGGGTCTCGGATAGACAACAAACATCGATATTAAGACTTTCCAAAGACATAGCCAGCCCTATCTGTTGTCCGACCTGCATAAATGTGCGAACGTTGAAGGCAGCCAGTTTGAATGGTGCACGTGGTTTCAGAAAAACTGCTTCAGTCCTCGTATTCGGTGGTAACATACAATTTTCAACCGGACAGTGACTCGAGAACGTTTAGATACAGTCGGATTTCCACCAAAGACGAGCCGCTGTATAAGTATAAAAGAGGGTGAATAATGTGGAAAATAATAATAATAATAATGACAATAATAGTAATAATAGTAGTATTAATAATGACAATAATAGTAATGATAATTATTTGAATCGATTGATTGCTTTTCGGAGCGAGAAAAGCAGTTGCCATAGACATAGAGTTCATCGTTTGTGTGTGGGCTGTGATACTGCCCGGGTGCCCAAACCGAAGCACGTGGTTTTCTTAGGGGGCCACTCCCCGATCCTTTGACCTAAAGGTCTAACCCACAAGGCAGTGGAGCATCGTAAGGATATGCAATCCCATGGTAGCCGGTGACCAAAGATTGGTTCATACGCCATTTGTTACTTCAGGATACTGGAGCCCATGTGCACCATTGGTTTGTGATCCGGTTAAAGCGCCGGTCATTCGCTTTTCGTTTTCTCATTTTCGTAAACAACACCCCCGCCACGAGAAGGCAATGAGTAGGACTTCCCTGGCAGAGGCTTTATACGCGTGGCCGTGTGAGAGTATTTCGAGAGGGAGAGCGGACTCACCCCACTCTCGGCCGTACCAGGGCATTCAGGGGCTTTTATTTTGATAGTCTGAACTGATTTTTGTTTTCCAAGGTTTAAAAAAGATGATTCATGGGATTTAGGCACTGACACACCAGATTCGTTTATAGAACCACGTGACCTATCATGCATGTAACAAGACTACGAATAATTGCCTAATGTATGATCGACAAACCGAACAAATAGTACACAAGTCATTGATAGACAATACATCTATCTTTCGGTTGTAGAGAAGAATATATATAGACTGAGACTTGGACAAGGTGTATAATCGGCTTCGTCCAACAGTGTTCCTTGTTTGTCATATGAGCACTGGTAACGATATATCTAGTTTTTGGTCAGTCAGTCAGTCAGTCAGTAACAACGTAGAACTTCGTACGTACGTACATCAGTTCGAGTTGCCACACCACATTAGCACAGAGATGCAGTTGTCGATTCAGATCCCGTAGTGGTAGAGGTAATAAGAGTATAAGCAGTAATAGGGAAGATTAGGGTTTGGAGATGTTATTCAAAGAGTATAATACAGTGAAATAAATTTGGGAAGAGGAAAAATGGGACATGAAGAATTCAGAAGTTTAGAATTTGGGAGAACACAGAGAGTGGATGCACCTGCGCCATTGCAAACGATTTTGAGCCATGTCATTCAGGGTCTCTAACCATCGGTTGCTATCATCTCGCGGTCCCCAACCAAGGTAGTCTACACCTACCAATATGACTCAGTCCACTTGTCAGTGACTTCATGGACTTGTGCCATGTTTTGGTTTGGCCGCCCCTAGCTTTCTTCCAACTTACTCCTATACCACTGAACATAGCACGTCGAGGTAGTCGGTCGGTTTTCGGTCAGCCTAATAATAATAAAAGTGTTTCATGTGAAATCAGGATTTAAAAAATTACTGAGCTTTTAGGATCATTTACTCATTCCCTGACTGATTAATATCTCTCCCATTTCAGCAGAGTTATACCTGATAGTTTTGAATATATTTTTATTATTTACATTTATCTGTACACATTTTAAATGGTTTACTGAAGCTACTGCTTTAATTTTAAAATCGCCCACTGCTGACTAATTTCAGTGCTCGAAGTCGGACTACTTGCAGTAGATAAGAACGTTTTGCTGGTTCGTCTTAATCACCAACATCTGATATAAAACGAAGGAATGATAAAAGAAAAATGTTCATTTACATTGTATCATGTTGATGAAACTCACTAACATTAAACGGCCTCCTGAAGCAAACACCTTGAACTACATTTAATACACTCAAATTAAAGACGTTAGATCATACAAAACCAAACCACATAGTTACAAACTGAGAGAGATAATATAACTTACGAAATAAAACGCCTATGGCATTGTCTCTCAACATTTACGTTGTTTGCATGGAGTTATACTCGGAATCAACTTCGTTTAGATACTGAATTACTGTTATAACGTGAAAAATAATGCTGCAGCGGATTAAGGGTAGGGAATTATTGATCGGACCAAAGACGCGCAAACACGTAGAACGACCTAGGGTCCTGATTGGTCTCGCTTCCCTATCTAACCCAGCCAGTTGAGTCCAGAACACAAGTCACAGTCTCGGAGATATGAATCATTATATTTCAAACATACTTTGTTTATATACCAGTCAAGCAGACCACAACGTCCCATAAACTAGAAAATAATATTGTACAATAATGGCCAGTAGGAAAATGACACGTTAAACAAGTATTGACCAATAAGATGATACCATTTCATGTCCAAGGATAGTATTAGGCTTAACAGGATAATTCTTGGGATATTTTCCTGAATATCCCAAGAATTACTCAATCACAATTAAAAATAAATTTTTTCTCATACACTTAATAAGATCACTAATTGCTTGAATTCACTAATGATCTGTTTGTTTATGCCAAATCACACTAGTGACCTTCGCCTTATCTGTTGTGCTCACTAATGTAGTGACACTGATTTACCCACATAAATTTCTTCTACCCTTAACCTGTCCAGCTAGAGTAAAAGAAAAGCCACCTAATCTATCTTGCATACTTTATGACTTAAAAATTCACAAGATTATACACATCAATTGCATGACTGGTATGCACTGCATGTAGAAAATTCGAATACGTAACAAATACGTAATAAACTTTTCTGCGTGACAATCAAACGTAAAACAGTTCTGAAGTCCCGACTCTTTAACTTGTTATTTACTGCTATCTAACAGTTAGTTTTGACTCTTGTTTCTTTATATTTCCTTCCTATAGAATAATATGCGTGGACAGGTTTGTTTTTGCCTTTAGTGTTTTCTCTCTCACCCTGTGATATAAGTTTTTAATAACCAAGATTTTTCTAAGTTATTAGTTTTCTGGTGTGTGTGTGTGTGTGTGACCTCCTTCCCAAAAGCTCTAAATTGTTATATTTTTTAACCTCTGGTTTATTAGTTTCACAACTGAACACTTTACTTTGATTTCCCAATTGCTAACTTTACTATTCGTCATCCCGTAGTTAGTTAGAGGTGTGTGATCAGAGGGCACTTAGGGCTCTTTAAGGAAGTACCAAGATCGCTATTCTGTAAATTATATTTCAGAGAAAATAGACTTTACATCATTTAACAAATTTTTAAATCTGGATTTAACAACTCAGTGGATAGTGCCGTGATATCTAAAACTGATGTTTCTGGGTTCGAGTTCCGATATAAACATAAGCACTGATCTTTAGCAGGTATGTCCAATTGACGAATCCCGTATTGGACGAAATGTGTGCCCTAAATTCAACTGCTATCTGCTTTCCATCTGTTACATAGAGGAAATATAGTTGTTTCATTTTGCATTTATTTACACACATAACTCCATCAGTATTTACAGGTGTTCAAAACTTTGGTTTTAGTAACCCAAGCTTTTTATTTCTTCAGTATTACATTCCTTGTTTTTGAACTTTATGTTTTTTTTAGTTTCTCGCACTACCCATATATTACTTTGCTTTTAATCTTGTTAATAGTTTTTCCACTCACTGTTCCTTGGAGCAACTTGATTCCCCCATACCCGTTTGTTCCATGTCATACATTGCTTATGAACTGGTGATAGTATGATGTGGGATGATTCCTGTTTTCATACTTATCAATTCACTTCATATGATAAATAGATAACCCATAGTTATTACTTGGACGTTGTTACGTTCCGCGATCATCCAATTCAGATAGACACGCTTTCTATACACTTACCCAACTAGCTATGAGAGCGATTAAATTGTAATGACTAGAAAGCTTTGATTAATAGGCACAAAAGTTATTAGCGTATATGTACTTTTTTTCTTTTCATTCAGACATCAACATGTAAGCTGATTATGTGCATAATCGAATCCCTTTAATGGCGTATCTTGTTTATAATTTCTCATTTACTGTCTAAACTTGAGTAAGCATATCAGCACAGTTACATAACATGCTTAGAGTTGACTAGCTTATCGGATGTATCTTCTTCATAAATAAGATTGTTTCACTTAATCAAGAATTGTGTTGAGCTAATCAACTGATGATAATAGTTCTTTTGCTTTTTTTGTCGGTTCAATTTAATTTTCAACACTGATATTGTGTTAATTTTGTGAGCAATTATCTTTCTCACAATTCCAGCTTATTATTCAGTCATTCAGCTAAAACGTAGGACCACGCACATATGTGCATCGGTCCAAGTTGCCAAACCTCATTAGCACAACGAGATGAAAACCGATTTTATAGAAGTAGTTAATTCAGTGGTGGTAATATCTAAAAGAAAGATTGCTTAGTGACCTGAGAGCGTGACCTCAGTGCCCAAAGGACAACTGTTTGAGGTCGATCACATACGACCTTTTTGTGGGTAATTTTCATGTTAGCTCCGTACTTGTCGAGAACTTACCACCGGAGACGGATATCCGTGAGATAAGGCGAGGTGTGTATTTTTAGGGTGCACCTTTTCTAACCCCACCTCTCCTTGTGGAAAGGCACCATCGCTATTATACTGGTTGTCTGAAGGAAACACCTTACTGCCGCCACACCTCTGTACAGTCAGCAGTACGACTTCACCCTCGGACCTTTGGTTTGCTGCTTTTAGTCTTACCGCTTTTCAACCAACCTGTCCGGCATGATAGGACTTTGAGGAACAATTGTTCCAGCCAATATAGCTCGACTGGTTCATCACGATAAGCAAGCACGACCACCATGTCGAGGTAGCAACAACGGTCAGGCAGCTTATTATTATTATTATTACTATTAATGAATCGGCATTTAAGTAATAACTAACTATTAATCTACTTTCCGTTATTCTTATAAAAAACAAATCCATCTTGAATCATCTCTTAGAATTAATTGACTTATCTTATCACTGAATTTTTAGGTTCAATTACAGTTTTGAAGATGATTTTCATATTATGTGTGTCGAACTTAAAGAAACTACACTTGCATTTCAGACAATTAAATCAGTTTATTAGTCCTTACATTCTCTAATGTTTTTCTATGAACAAGGTTTATATTCACTTGGTATTGTTTTACTCATATCTTCCCATTGTTATTTAGGACTACAATTGACCAGTCTCATGTTGGCATATGTGCATCCTGTACAGATTGCCTCGATATCGCCTTAAGTCACAAGCTTTTTAAGCAAAGATGAATAGTGGCTAGCAGTGAAATCCAGGACGCGCGTTTCTTTTTATTTGGAACTCGTCATCTAGATGTACTTGCATCTCAAAGTTGATGTTCACTGTGGGACTCGAACATCAATTCTGCGTTGCAGATATATGCAGCTGAGCAATTCCAAATAAGATGAAACGCACGTCCTGGATTCCACTGCTAGCCACTATCCATCTTTGCTTAAATAAGGTTTATGTTTTTTTTTTAAAAAAAAACAATAATGTATTACTTTGTTTTAATTACCTATTCCTTTTTTTTTCCTTATTAGCCTAGTAGTCCACGTTCATCAGATGTTCTATCGGATAATAATAATCGTAGCAATTCATCAAATGAAATATCAATATCTAATATTAATAGTTTAACTCATGGTATTGGAAAATCTATTCCTAGTTCTTCATCTTCTTCATTGTTTACTGATTCAAATCCTCTTATGAAATTAGTTGATCATACAAAAGTACGAACATCAAGTTCACTGAATAAACCAAAAAAATCTTATCGTTCTAGATCACGTCAAAAAGATACTTAATTGAATTTCTTCCACTTTTATTATTCATTTAATCATTATGCGACATTCATTAATCTACATTGTGTTTGACTCAATTTTCTCTTTTATTTTGTAGAATTATTATACATTTATATCTGTGTATTATAATGCGTTTGTTTCTTATTCAATGAAATATTTTACTCTTTAATATATATTTCTGAAATATTTCCTCATGAATTGATTATGTAATGATTGTTTAATTGTCAGATTTATTGATATCACCCGATTAACTTACCCAATGGCCTGTATACGTACATTATATATATATATATTGCCCTATGTATATTTTTCAAGGATAATAATGTGCCTTAGGAGGTTTTGTTCATGGAAATGTAATCCAACATCCTAATGATGCATATGTACATGTACAATATTTTCTTCTATCTATCTATCTATGAAAGTACTTCAATATTCTCATATTACTGTATACAACTATACAAATGTATTTCTTCCAGATGTAATCATCATCATGTGCAAAAAGAGAAAATAAGAACACAATTAGTGTATAATTTGTCTTTCAGATTTTATTTTGTTCAATGTTTTACTCATTAATTTATTGTTTATATTAAAAAAAAGGGAATGACATGTTGTTGTTGTTTCTTTTAATGTTTCTTCTATTCTATGGAATGTTTTGTTTCATTCACATTGAAGGCTCTGTCTGCCTTCATTACATACTTTTCTCGTTGTTGATTATATATATATATATATATATATATATATATATATATATATATATATATATATATATATATATAATTAGAATTACGATCTTCCATATATTCGAATATATGACTACTGCAATGATGAACTATGATTTTACGTTATATATATATATATATATATATATATATATATATATATATATATATATATATATATATATATATATAATAACCTTTGTTATTACTAGTTCTCATTATTAACTTTGAAGAACTAGATGTATATCAGTAAATTATTTATTATAATGTGTAATTGTTTTGTTTTTTTCCAACGACCGTTTCTGTTAACAGTCTTATTAGAAGAGATACAATGACATTGTTCATGTGTAATACTCTCTTTAAACATGTTGGTGTATGGTCAAGAAATGTCGGTGTTCTTTTGTTTTGTAGTAGTGTAGTGAACGGGAACAAAAGTTGGGACAATTGAATGTAATTAAGCACAAAATTACAGAACATCTTAATAAAATTTGAGAATCATACAGTAAATTCCTCATTTGTCAATCCGTTTTCTCAGACTTCACTGTTCTTTCGTTTCCATACCAATCCTTGTTTGTTCTTGTTCTCTTTCTTTGATTTTTTTTAACCTTGTGCCTCCAGGTATTTCACTTTCAATTGATGAGTGATACTGCTTATATCAGTCGATATCGGTAGCACACTTCACGGTAGTACTGTTCCAATATCACTGAAATATTTCCCATTCTTTATAAACTTATTACGCTCGGTTTTACTTCGTCTACACGTATGGGACGTTAATTTATCTTAGACGAATATCTACACTAGATTCCCTCCCAGTGTCTATTCTACAGGACTTCAACACAACTCAGATCAAGAATATGTGATTAGCCGGACTAGAACGTAAATATATTTCTACATCAAAACCCGACACAGTCCAACAACAATGAACAATCAATAATATTTATTATAAGGATAGGGGAATATATAACTCATCTGACACCTGTCTGACTAAGCAAACAACCAATTATTATCGTTCTCGCCTAAACATCATAAACTTTAGCCATATCAGTTATTGTTTTGCAATATTCATTGAACCTTCACATGTATTCGATGCTAACTAGTGGACTTGAATTTAATCCACTTGTTACAGCTAACATTTGTGTATTTTCATCAAATTAGGAATTACGATTTACTGGCTAATGACATACTTTTAATTTCGTTAGTGATGCATAGAATATTAGTACAATTAGTCTCATAACCCAACTTTATTAGGTCTATCCTGATGCATGCTTATTCGATAGATAGTTTGTTTAGTTAAGCATGTTCTTGGAATTAAACTAAACTTTAGAACGGTAACGGTATTATGATATCCTAGGTATTTGATGAACAACTGAGGAAACAGATATTCTCGAATCGATACTTTTGCTTTTGGAACTGACCCTCACATAATAGTTTTTATAAAAGGAAACAGGTTCCCGTGTCGAAGTTGAGAAGCAAGCTTAATAACTCTATTTTAATATGACTCAGTCGACACAGGAGCTCAGGACAGAGTTCGATGGCGAATTCTGGTGAGCAACCTTTGCTCCTGCACTAGGGGTAACAAGCGTAAGGAGGTGGGTCCGATGTCCACTGCCAAGTCGTATTTCCTTACTTCCACAGTTATTTTACTGGTCCGTGTGGTCTTCCTCATTGTTCGAACACTTCATGTACCTAACCCCCAAATGCCCTGCTATGGCCGAGAGTGAGGAGAGTCCGCTCTCCCTCTCGAAATGCTCTCACATAGCAAAGTGCACACAACCACTGACAGGGAAGTCCTACTCACTGCCTTCTCGTGGCGGGGGTATTGTTTACGAAAATGAGAGGACGAAAAGCGAACGTCCGGTGCTTTAACCGCTTTGGCGGACATGGAGAGTCCAACTAGGGAGTTGGAAAACCCTGATTCCAAACCAATTGTGCACATCGGCTCCAGTATCCTGAAGGAACAAATGGCATATGGACCAATCGTTGGTAACCGGCTACCATGAGACTGCATCTCCGTACGTTGCTCCACTGCATTGTGGATCAGACCTGTAGGTCGAAGGCTCCGAGTATGGCTCCCTAAGAAAACCACCTGTTTCGGTTAGGGCACCCGGGCAGTATCACAGCTCTCACACATGTCCAGTGAGATTTGTGTGGCGTGTATGTATTTGGTGCCTCCTTGTACCAATATCTATGTGTTAAAATAAATTGTTGCTCTGGTTGTCATAAGGAGCATCCGCTTCGTGACTTCTGAAGGATATGGGTTTTCAACTTGAGGCATCATAACTTTTCTAAATGAAGATCCTTCAACTCCCAGATGACAGTTTAAATTATCTTTATGGCTAGCGTATTTTTATTAGTGTTGTTCTCTACAGGATAGGGTTGCTGATTTCATGCCCAACCCTTCTCCTTTATCCGGGCTTGTGACTAGCAATTATCACAAAAGGACTATAGATGGAGTTAACAGTTATTGAGTGGAGTAAAAACTTACATTAAAAGCAGTATAGATTACTATGAACCAATCATCTAACTATTATACATTTATATATATGGCTCTTTTATCTATAAGGCAGACTAAAGTGTCTCTTCGATTATATATATATATATATATATATATATATATATATATCCGAAGTGAGATGAAATTTATTGTTTTCTCTACTTCAACAGTCATTATGGACTGTTCAATAATCTATACGTAATTTTCAAAACCTAGTATTTATTGAATAATCATCTTACTTCACTACAGTTCAAGAAAGAAAGTTGTGTAGGCTTGACATCTATCAGTTCATTATAAGTTCTTGATTGGGATCCTACAGAAATGGTACACTTCGTGAACTTGGCCTATTATCAGATATTGACTCACAATAGAAATCAATAGTGATTATGGTGTAAGTAGTTTCTCTTTACATTCTTTTAAAATTGTGAGGTACTACCTCAAGTAACAAATGTCTGTTTTGCTTGTATTTTTAACTGAACTATATTCTATTCTCATAAATTATTCTCGCTCAGTTGTCTTTGATGATACTAACCTTCCTTTTATTATCTCATTTTCTTATTCTGATAGTGCTTATTTAATGCAGTGCTCATCTGTACCAATTTCTTTTGTATTTCAAATCAATAAATACACTATTTAATGTTTGTAAAATAGAACTGACAGATTGGTCTGTGCACTCACATCAAAAAAAGGAGGAAGCAAAGCAATAAACCCCTTTCAATTTGTTCGTTGTCAAGGCTTTATGCTAATTAATATATAAGTTTGTTGTTTTTTTAAATTAAGTATCGAATCAATACCGAATAAATGGTAGTTAATTAATTTAACAATGTTTCTTTCAATATTTACTCTAGAATTAGTAATCAGTAAATTCATCAAGTGGATACAAAGAAAATTAAGTTATTCAGACAGATTACGTAAGAATTAAGTTAGAAGTTGGATCGATTAAAAAAAACATTAATCAGAATATGCTCAGTAGTGACGGTCTACAAGAGGTATTTCTTGGAGTTCAACCGGGTCTGTTGTGAAATAGTAACTCACTGAAGACAATTATGGATGTATCGCTCAATCTCGTGAATTAGTTGAAGTTAGACATTAACACCGTTGGATGCTTGCCGGCTCAGTGGTCTAGAGGTTAATCGTTCGCGCGCGAGACTGATAGGTCCTGAGTTCGAATCTTGAGGGGCGGGATCGTGGATGTGCACTGCTGAGGAGCCCCATACTAGGACGAAACGACCGTCTAGTGTTTCCATGGTGTTCGAGCTCCAAGCAACTCATGATCTCAACTATTAAAAAAACATTGTTTAACAAACATAAAAGTAATTGAATAGAAGGTCATGGTACGAACATTTTCTATACACGAAGATTAGTTTTATTGATGTATGCTCCTATGACTTCCACTGTACATGATAGACTGATTCTGGCAACTTAGAATAGGTACGACAGAAATCTGATAACATTAAAAGTTCACTGTATTTTGATACTGGTTTTTAATCATTGAAAACAATATTCTAAACACGTATATCTTCATGTTCTGAACTCGTCAATTAGATGTACTTGGATCCAGTTGTTGATAATCACATTAATGCTTAATCCTAGTGCTTTTACAACACCCTTACAAATAAAACTCATGATCAATGCATAAGCTAACGACTACCTAAACTCAATAACTTATTGAATTACACAATGATATTTGAACTGAAAGGTATTAGATTCAAATCTCAACATGAATATTAACACTATGATTTGGCTAGTATATCCAACTAATGAATTCCAGATAGTACGTAATCCTCGTC